CTGGGTAGGAGTGGCTGGTAGGGGTCCTCTCTGTCCATTTCCTGTCGATCTGAGCCTCTGGGCCTAGGCTCTCTTGCCTCTGTTCTAGCACTTGGGCTTCGATAGTATCGCTTTCTGGTGGCATTCTGTTGCTGGGGTTCTCTTATTACTAAGCAGAGTGGTCTGTGTGTTTTTGTTTTGAGTGTGAGACGTGTCTCAACTATCTGCTCTTATAGCTTATAGCTCCACAGCGCGCACGCTGCACGTCTTAAAACTTGCTGTAATTAGTTTCTTGTAAGGGATTTGTATATATTTAACAAAAATTACACCTATTCTAGAAAACTTGACGTTGGTGTTGAATCTCTATGACTCTTAATTGTTAGACTGTTAGGGATTTTCTGATCAAGGACCCGTTTGGATCACTGTGATAAAAGACTGTGATAAACTTGATGGTAGAAACTGATTGTATTGATTGCTCTGCGCTCTGTTGTCTGTAGGGGCGCGAGGGCGCGCCCCTTATGAGAGCTATCGCTATTGCTTTTTGTATCAGGTAGGCCGCTAAGTATCAGCCTCGCCTAGGGTTAGGTCTTGGCGATCAGCCCTGATTGGTTGGGATCACAGAATCCTGGTGCTCGAGTCCGCACCCGGATTCTGCCACTTATCTGACAGCTACCTCTACCTACCACACAGCTACCACTACTGCAGTTGCTATTGCAGTAACCAATTAAAGCCCACCAGTCTGCTGTTCAACCTGCACTCTACTTTGGCCTCCATACTAACCACCAGCTATTCATCCCACATCTCACGATATTCTATTTTTGAGCAGCCCCGTCCATGCAGCCCCGCCCTTGCTGCACGTCATGTCTGGAGCATGGTTTCGCCTGTGCCTCAGTGACACGGCAGCCCTGCCCAAGACTCAGCCCAAACCCCTTCTGAAACGCAAACACGGTCGCTCGGCCCGTTCCCGGATATTCGGTCATCCGTCAACGTCAGGTATCCAGATGTTTGCGCCTCAGGTTTCGAAACATCAGGCACAAACATTTGGATACCTCACGTTTGACCAATAGCAGTATCGCTATGCTTTTATACATAGTCCGCGCGTAGGCGCCACAAAATCATAAGCACTCATGTTGGATGTCGTTTAATGTCTTGTATCCTCAATTGCTACCCATTTCTGTTTTACACATTCCATGTGATGACTCCACCTACTCCATGCTATGACCTGTTCACCAATATGTCGCCAGTCTTCAGACCAGCGTCACGGACCGTAGTCTCCCAATCCAAGACATTGCCATTGTACCTGAGACAATGGCGTACAATGTCCATATTGAGCTCAAAGTTGAGCCGCCTCAGCAACCAAATCCAATCAATGTTGCCGATGGGGGTTCTGCAGTTTGGGCAGGGTCAGTTGCGGTACTCGCGGAGGTTGTCGAAATTGATAGATGATGAGTTCATCTATACGAGGAAAGAGTCTTCGGTGCAACTACTCTCATCAGTCTTCTGTCACTGTATTCAAACCACTTACCCACTGGTCATGGAACAAATGTTCACAGTCCAAGTGTACTGTTGTATCTGCTGTATTTCAAATGGTGCAAACTGCCGTCATTGATTTTTTTCCTTGGGAGGTTTTCAGTGGAGCAGGTGCAGTGTTGGAGATACAGGCACGTTCTGGACAGCATAGCTCGTCTTTTCTGTTATCCAGAGCACACGCGTAGTGTGCAGAGTGGGTACAGTACGCTAATACATGCTCTTTATCTGTGGAGATTTCGCCACGACAAATGCATCATGTTTGGTTGTGAGGTGCTTATGTAGAACCCTTTTGAATAAGCTTGTAATGTAAAAGCTCACGGTCACTCATATTGGAGTATGTTAGTGGAAGATATAAGTGATCAAAAGAGAAAAGAGAGTGGATGAGTAATGGGAGAAACCGAGAAAAGAGAGGTTTGTACAGCCTCTAGTCTATCTCACTGCGCGGTTGCGGATATCGCCATTACGTCAAATCACCCTTCACTGCGACTTTCACCGCGAATTTCACTGATATACTACAAGCATTCCTCCATTCCCTGACAATCTTGCAAAACGGTGCATTTAGCTGCTATTTTTGTAATTCTAGTTGTTCTGATGTTGCAGGCTATCCTGGTTGCTCTTGCTGTTCTGGCATTGATTGGATGATTTCATGTCTTGGCGCGAATAACCTTAAACGGACGTGCCTAACATCGTGTAGAGTTTCTTGGAGATGATTGGCGTCAAGCATCTTATTTTATATAAATTATTATTCGAAAAACGTGATTTAAGTATAACAGGAGACTGGTTCTAAAGTGTAGCTCAAGTTGCAATAAGATCTGCCGTTGGGATAACATTACGAGTTTACCTCTGGGCTGCTGATGAGTCAAGGTGTTTCAGGAAAACTTAATTTTACTAGCAAATATTTTCATGAAAACGAGGAGAGTTACATCAAGGAAAAATATGAGCGGATATCAGTAGCAAGCCTTTGAAATTGATGCTAAACTATCTAACCCACCATCCAATTCCCCTTTAGAAATTCTATAATCCCATAATCCTCTAATCCCCAATACATCACTCAAAGAAAGTAAATCCTAAGTTTTTCGGCAGGCTAATACCATTTGATTTACTACGTGATCCAATACCTCTCCTCGTACACCTTCCACCACATTCATACATATCAATCTATTTACTAAGCCAGCCACTCTCTCAATTAGTCCAAAGAACATATTATTTACATGTCAAAAGAGTGACCTTGTTGTGACCAGCACATGGGTTAATTTGGGTTTGCCAAACATGAGTGTTGTAAGGCTGCGTACTCCAATTGAGAAAGTTGGAAGACTTTAGTTGCGGCCGCCAGCGGCAGCGTTGCCAGCAGCAGCACCTGCATTGGCACGGTTGCCAGCGGCAGCATTTCCGCCAGCATTGCCAGCACCTGCTGGGCTGGGAGGAGTAGGACGGCCAGCGGCTCCGGCAGCTCCAGCAGCTCCGGCAGCTCCAGGAGCTGCTGCACCATTGCCATTACCCGCACGGTTGCCTGCTCCAGCTGCGGCGTTCGGGACCTGCCCGTTAACTGGGCCAGCAGCTCCTCCCTGTTGCTGAGAAGCCTGGTTGGCTGCACCACCTTGTTGCTGAGCTTGCCCAGTTGCACCGCCTTGCTGGTTAGTTTGACCAGTTGGAGCACCAGTTCCGGCTGCACCGGCGACGCCCTGTTGTGGGGTCTGTCCCTGTTGAGCCTGACCCTGTTGAGCCTGTCCCTGTTGAGCCTGACCCTGTTGAGCCTGACCCTGTTGAGCCTGACCCTGTTGAGCCTGACCCTGTTGAGCCTGACCCTGTTGGGCCTGACCTTGAGGGATCTGGCCCTGAGTGTTCTGGCCCTGTTGAGCCTGGCCCTGAGGAATCTGGCCCTGGCCCTGGCCCTGAATGTTCTGACCAGTGCCAGTGCTGGCGGTATTCGCGGTGGCTCCATTCTGGACCAAACCGTTACCTGTTCCCTGAGCAAGGGACTGAGCGGCGGCAAAGGCAGCGGCGGGGCTACCGGCGGGCTGACCTGGCTGTGTGGCACCGGTTCCCTGTACGCCACCGGCGACACCGGTCTTGTCACAGGCAGTGGGGCGAACGGACTGAGTGGTAGAGCCAGTGGAGGCCATGTAAGCATCGATGTTAGGAAGAACGTTGACACAACGGTTCTGGTTGATCAGGTCGATGTTGGCAACGGCAGCCATACCCTGGACAGACATCTGCTGCAGCTTGTCGACGACATCCTGGAAAGAACCACCAGTGGCGAGGGTGCTGTTGGCGGCGATGACGTTGGGGTTAGCGCTGTTGGCTGCGTCGATAATGGCCTTGTGGTTGAGCTCGTCAACCTCGGCGTTGTACGCAACGGTAGCGGCCTGCTTGAACTGAACGTTGTTCTTGATGCTGGCACCGGTGTTCAGGAAGTTGGAGACCATGGAGGTATCGGCCTGCCAGTTGGAGACGGCAGTGGCGAGGTCAGCCGCAGTGGGAGTTTGTCCATTGCGGATTCCAGCGCCCTGACCAGTTGGGTTGTTGTTGGCGGTGGTCTGGCCTGTTGGCTGGTTGGTAGCCTGGCCAGCTGGGCGCTGCTGTCCTTGGCCCTGAACCTGAGCGAAAGGAGCAGCGTAGACTGCGGAAGAAAGGAGAGAGGAGATGAGAATGTACTTCATTTTGACTGAGGGAGTGATAGCGGATCTACCGAATTGGATGGAATAGGATTAGAAAAAAGGAGTAAATGAGAGTAGAGAGGTACTGGAAGACGCGGTAAGAGAGAGTGGGATATTAGCCTGTTGAGTGATTGAGGAACCTGTCCGATAATGACTGAATGGGTGGAGGACCACTGGCTATATGTACCACGTCGACTAAGCATCTGGATAGGCCTCGTGTGGGTGGCATAGTGGCGCGTGCCATGTGATGCAACAAAACAGCTTGGAGATGGAACAGATGGGACGGTGAGCATTAGCGAGTTGCTGGATGGGACAGTTTCGAAGCGTGCCTCATGCTTAGCCGGGGATGGGGTACAGGACGTACTGCGAAGTGCCTCATGTTTACTAGGGTCTTGTGTAGGCCGTAGAAGAAGTCTAACCAGCCGTCATGCCAAGCTGCAATGGGTGTCGCTGTGTTTGGTTTGGGACATCACTATGCGCTCGACAGCAGAATTAGTCAATGATGTTTGGCGTGCTGGCATGTATGTTTTGGGCGCGTTTGGGAGCAGGTTTCGTCGGTCTTGGCCGGCGAGGCTCAATGTGTTCGTGGAGGATCGCCAGAACGCTACGTTGAAACGCAGTCTCAAAGGACCAGGACCCAGGCCCCACGTCCGTTCGGGATCGCCATAACCGTGCGACGGCTCGGCAATGCTGGCCTCGAACCATCGCCTGCGTGTCGTGGTGGAAAGATGGCGCGAGGCGCCAGTCCGATTCGGGCTAGCGCCCATCGGATGAAGGCTGATTGACACGAGGGTACCTGAGCGTGCTCCGAGACGCTACAGCATCGCGACACGACTTTGCATGTACCTCGGCTGTGACAAGTGCAGCGACTGCGACTCTGAAGCTCGCGCATTAGGCCCAGCGCGTTACGCGAATGGCGACCAGATTGTGGCCTCTGGGACACGGCAGACGATCGACGTCGAAGCAAAGAGCCCCAGTCAGCGCAGTAAATGGTTGCATCACCCGGAGCATGAGTAGTTCGAATCCGAACGCGAGCGGAGTTGTTGGCGCAGTGGCTCTCACCGCGTAGCATCCCGTGGAGCATCCATGCTGGTCTCGATTTTGCGAATGAATTTAGCAGGATTACCCGCGACGACAGTGAAGTCAGGAACGTTCTTCGTAACAACACTCCCGGCGCCAATGACACTGCCTTTTCCAATGACAACTCCTGACAATATGCACACGTTACCTCCAATCCAACAGTCCTCGCCAACATGGATCTCCTTGCCCAGCTCTGGTCCTTGCGTTCCGTTGCGCACAGCAGGATCCAGAGGATGGGTTCCAGAATAAAAGCTGACGTTTGGACCGACAAGCGTACGCGAGCCGATGGTAATCAGGCATGTATCAAGGAAAACCGAGTTGAAGTTGATGAAGACATTTTGGCCAAGGCGAACGTTGTAACCATAATCCATAGCCAGTGGCGGCTCAATCCACGGGTCATTCTCAAAGAGTTTGTCGTCTTCTTCAGCTGTTTGCGCCTGCGGTGGGAGAGGAGTCTTGTCCTGGATCACACTAAAGCAATTGTGTGAAAAGACTATCTTGAAGCCGCAAGGGACTCATACATACTCTCGAAATAACTCAGTGAGCTTCCTGCGTGGAACATCGCCGGCCTGGTTGTACCTCGCGCAGGCATGTTTGCATCTTGCTCGCTCCGCAACAAGTTCAGGCGTGAAGGCGTGGTAGAGCTCGCCGCGAGCCATGCGCTGCTTGTTCTCAGAGAGTTCCATGGCGTCTTTGCCCAAGGCCGTGGTGTTTATTCGCTGAGCTGTCATCGGTCAACTAGACGCTTCGTGGCTGCTTGTCACGCGTGGAATGGGGTGGGGCTCAGCCGTGGGGCGCTAAGATGCGATAGGACTAGCGTGTACAGCCACAGGGCGAAACGCGACCTCGAGAACAATAGCAAACGGCCTTTCCCTCTCGTCTTGCCATTGTCCTACGCTGCTGCACGCCGTTCAAGTACGGTGCAGCCGTGCAGCTCTTTTCTCTGTGCAGTATAAAGCCATGTTATGAACAGCGCCGTGTTCCAGCACTCCGAAATTCCTGCATACTCGATCCGACCGTACCGGTACCACCCACCGCAATCATGGCCGCGAATGGCTCATCCTCCGGTGTCGACATCTCGCTGCCTGCAGAACACGCAAATGGAAATGGAGCATGGGCTCCTGGAAACGGTGACAGTTCGCCCACGGAAGAGGCTGCCAGCATGCAGCCCAAGGCCCCCAATCCCATTCCTCCAGACTTCTTCCCTCATGGCAAGCGTTCGCTTTCAGGCATCGCCGTGCGCGCCTTTTGCTTAGGTGGCGCTCATGTGCTTGGCCTTTCCGGTGCTGCGTTTTTCGCATACCACGGCAGCCATCTCTGGCGGCCTTGTATGTTTCTCGGTGCGCTCTCTCTCTTCCACTTTCTCGAGTTCTACACGACAGCTGCATACAACACCCCAGTCGCCAAAGTCGCTTCGTTCCTCCTGAGCAATGGAAACCAGTACCGCATAGCTCACACCATGGCCTTTGTCGAGACAATCATTACGTCCTACTTCTTTCCGGGTTACCAATCCTATATCCACCCGCCATGGCTCATCGCAATTGGATTTATAATGGTCGTGGTTGGGCAGACGGTTCGCAGCACAGCGATGATTCAGGCTGGCACCAACTTTAATCACATGGTGCAGTCTAGCAAAAACGAAGGGCATGAACTGGTGACACATGGCTTGTATCACTATTTCCGTCACCCCTCATACTTTGGCTTCTTCTGGTGGGGGATCGGCACACAGCTCATGCTTGGAAACACCGTCTGCTTTCTGGGATATTCCGCCGTCTTGTGGCTCTTCTTCAAGAAACGTATTTTCCGTGAGTTTTACTCCAACTGTCTGCAGACCCAATAACATGCTAATTCAGAGTAGACGAGGAAAAGCATCTGCTGGAGTTCTTCGGTGAAGACTATAGAGCATACAAGGCGCGAACGCCTGTCTGGATACCTTTTATCTGAACTTGCACGACGTGACAGACCCGTTAGCGCGCCAGATGAGTATGTCATCTCTAGATGTTTCAACGTATTATTGCTCGGTTCAAAACTTCAAATTTCTTCACGCTTCTGCGTATGACTGCTTTTTTGTGATTCATATCTTCACTCGAACATTTCATCGATATCTGGTTGTGCAGTGTTGCTCGCAATTGGTCTCACCCTTCATACCACTTCATCGCAAGGCCGACTTCAGTGAGCGTTTGTGTCGCTTCCTCATCTCTCACAGCGTCATTCTCTTTTTGTCTATATTACAGTAATCTTGAATCGTCCCCTCCATACTGGCAAGTCCCGTGATATCGGGTTTAACTGTGGCCTGATTGTTTGCTGTTGGCGCGCACCACAAACGGCAACTGCCACCCGACGCCGTGGACCCTTTTTCGTCCCCGTCATCGCCCAATGCGCATTCAACTGAGCTTGGAGATTCCATACCAATGAATCTCAATCGTTCTCATGCCCAGCAACCATCCATCGGCTCCTGCACGTAGCACCAACAACAAGCTCTACCAAGCGTGCCTGGAGGCGTGCATTGACGGCATCGAGAGCTTTCCAGTCGACAAACGTAGCAGTAGTGAGTGCAAGCTTTCTCTCACCTCGCCGGTGCGCTCAACTCCTTCCACTGACTGTATTTTCTCAGCCGCGCTACCCCACCGGTCCCCCAGCACCAAACAGAACACAGAAAGTGCCGCCTTTACTGAGATTGCTTCCACGTCGCTCGCCGACTTGTGTACGACATCCTCCCTTCCATCTCCTCCGCTGTCGCCCTCGCGTACGGGCTTTTGTAAACAGTTAAGCTCAATTCTATTCTCTCCACCGCTGGCCGCAATGGAGCGTTCCCGATACGCAGACACGCCGATCAGATCAAAGGAACCGCCGTCGCAAGGTTCGTTGAATGCGCCTCTACGGGGTCCGTCCAGTGCTCTTCCTTCTATGACATCTGGTACTTCTGCACTGCAGAATGCGCACAACAACCTTGCAACTCAGCCCGTCGCAAGCACAGGAAAATCCAAAGTCAAAAAGAGTGCTGTCAAGATTGTGGGGCCTGTTGGACATGTGCCTGTCGCTCCTGCCAAGCCCATGGCCGCCACACCTCCTGTACCATCTTCCTTGATCGTTCCACCAGTCAACATAGAGTCCAGGGTCGCTGAAGGGTAGGTACTGCCTTGGCCAGAAAGATCTCTGCTAACCTTTTCTCGATAGACCCCTCGTCGCTTCAGCAGTCTCTACTCCGAAGACAACTTCATCACAGAAGGAGAACGTCCAATCCACCCAAGACCCTGGATCGCTAGAGGCACTTTTTGCTCGCTTGACCAGTAAGAGCTCGACAATCCCTATTCGACCATCGATAAGCACATCTGGATCAGGCCCTGAAAAGAGCAAAATTTCACTTGAAAGTCAATGGGATGCTCCCAAAGTTGACCGGCCCGATGCAACAGAGCCTACAAAGGTGACAGCCCATCATGCCACTCTCGGCGAAAGCGCGTCGACAAAATTCTCTCAGAGTGGAAAGCAATCCTTGCCTGACAGGCCAGTGGAACTCGAAAACGAGTATATGCGTAAAGCTAGCGCATATATCGATGCTCTTCCAGATACCAAGCTCGGCACGGCGCGTCTCATTGGAGTTGTCTCAAAGAAGCTGCATGGCGCCTATGCTCGAGATATGAAGATGCAACAAGAAAGCGTCGAAGCCATCAAGGCACGGTTTGCATTCGCCATTGTCACCTATCTCAACAAGGTGTTGGCCAAAGGCCCAAAGAAATGCACGACGGATTTTATCAAGCAGATACTGCACGATGTCCAAGGCGACTTTCTCAAACTATGCGCAAAACTTGTGGAAGAGAAGTACGTCTCACTAGAAAAGCTGGATGACGTTGCTGGTCTGGCAAAAGTCATGCTGGATATTTTCCCCAAGAGAGAGCTTGGCCATGACACAGTTACTGGAGGCATGCCAAAGACAGAGCCACCAAACTATCCAACTATTCAAGAGAAAACTGCAGAGTCCAAGGTCGCAAGTGATAGCGCCGGATCATGGCCATCGCAGGACAAACGGGAGACTTGTGAGTCAACAGCACTGCATACTAGCCCAATCCGAGGCTAATAAGAAAGTTGCCGCTCATCGTACGTGCATACTTAAAGGTGTCACGGCTGTCACTAGTATCAACCAACTGCAAGCTCTAGTCTGGGGCGGCAGGCTCGAGTCGATTTCCGGGCCGGAGTCTGGCTCGTCCAATGCTCTCGTCAAGTTTCTGACAGCCGATGCATGCGAGCGATACCACAGGGATACCGCGAACGGCATCACGATCAAGGCTGATATGAAAAACGCCGTGGTGTTTGTCGAGCTGACGGAAGGCCCAAACTCTACAAACGACGTCATCCAGCGCTGTATCGAGGGAGGTGTCAGCCGTTGTGTCCGAGCTATTGGAAAAGTAGAGTGCAATGACACGCAGCTCATGGCACTTGCTCAGGGAAAGGATCAAGCCAAGAAGCGCGAGGTGGATCGCATCAAGCGTGGCAAGAATGTGCGCGGTGTAAGTTTCCCTTGATGTCTGGATTGAAAAATGCTAACACTATCCCTGTAGCACGAATATGTGGAATTCCGCTTCGCGAATATCTACAACGCCCTCAGTTTCCGACGCGAGCTCATGGATGACGATGACTGGGAACACTGCAACATTGGCTATGCGCCTGATCCGTGTGAGGTTGCGGCGGGTCTACACTACGAGGACTAATCATGGGACTTTGAAGGTTAGTCTCGGGTGTTGTTGCCATCACTCATGGCACGTTGGCTGTCACAACTTGTTTGATGATGGTCAGACGATGGTGGTGTTTTCCCCCCACGCACCAGCTCTTTATGGCAGTGTAATTGAAATTTTCCAGGCCGCTATGGTTGCAAACAAGATATTCTCGGTTGCCTGACTCGGGCGAAGAGATTGGAAGACGGGCCTTGTTTCATACAGCACCTCAGTATATGTATCAAGGACAAATACATGCCTGAATTCAATGCATGATAGGTAGCAGATGGCTGAACAGGAATCTAATTGATTAAACGGGATCTACATGTCCCTAGACAGCCGTCAAAAGCGCAAAACAAAGACACGTGCCCTTTTGCTACTAATACACTCCGAGATGGCCAAAAGCGCCATAAGCACTCGCTCCCCGACCGCAGAGCCTATGGGGCAATAAAAAAAAGAGAAGACACCGTGAAGGCGAATACACCCGTATACCATCCAACGCCTTTGCTACCGCATGTCGTGTTTCCTTATCAATACTCTTCGCAGCGCGTGGAATCGTCCTACCGGTTCACGGCCGTGAAGCTCGCATCCGTCATCTCTGTGTCGCCATTCTGCGGTGGGGCAGCAGCCTCGGATGTAGCCGCTGGAGGCTGTTGAGCTGCGCCCGAGTGTGCGCGTCGCCGGCCTTCATCTCCGTCGTTGCTCGCCGGCGCGGGACGCTGTTCGTCGTATGCCGGGTCGAAGAAGGGGCGCTGTGCCTGAGCCTGCGGTTGGGCTTGTTGCTGGGGCTGCAGTGTCGGCAGAGCCTGCAGTGAAGGAAGTGCAGGCGCAGGCGCACCATTGGCGGCGCTGCTGGGGGGACTCGCGGCTGTTGCAGCGCTGCCGCTGCCGGCGTTGCTGAAGTAATTGCTCTGTGGCCGTCCGGGATCAGGCGTACTCTGCGCACTGCTCAGGGCATTCATCCCCTGCGACACCTGGCTCATCGCTCCTAACCTGCCCTCCAGCCTCTCGCCCTCTCCGCCCGTAGCACTGTTAGCGCCGCCAAGGGGCGGACTCCCCTTTCTGTTGTGGCTCCGCTTGCTCCGCAGTGGCTTGTCTGTCGGTGTGGGCGGCGGGCTGCTACTCCGGTCGCTGTCATCAACATTGTACTCCATGTGCTTGTTTAGTTGGTCGAGCAGGAATGCGCGCTCGAGGCGCATCTTTTGGATCCCGCGGTTCAGACGGGTTATCCGCAGGCGCGTGCCATCGTTGTTGTCTTCGATATCCGTTATCCGGCGGCGCAGATCGATGCATTTGCGGTAGTATGCGGTTTCGACGGATGGCGGCAGGTCCTTGGAGGCTATTGCGCGGGATGCTGGGGGGGGCGCTGGCGGTTAGTAAACGGGCGTTGCGTAGACGCGCTGGGAGGGAGAGCGCGCAAACGAGCATTCCTTACGAGGCTGCGGCATCTTTGCGCTTGTTTTTGTTTTTTTCCGTATGCGATTTTTCTAAAGCTGAGCGGCGGCCGCCAATGGGTGAGGTGGTTGCGGCGGGTGATTTGATCAATCTGGGGATACGGAGTTGTTGGGTTGGGGCAAGAGGGTTTGGAACGCGATCATGGAGCTCGCACCTCTGTGGGGCCGACGTTGTTCCGAATAGCCTCACCTCACCTCACCTAACCTGACCTCTAACGCTGCTCCTTCTACGCATCAGCCATCTCAACATCGCCATCTTTGTCAATTGGGATAGTCAGAAAATCCAATGACTGTGCCGCTTCACGCCGAAAATTTCGAAAATCATCCGCAAAATCGCGGTCAAGGCCAGACATTCCATCGAAGCCAAAATATAGGCCTTTCTCCACTGCCTTGCTAAACAAAAACTCCTGGTCTGCACTATCTTTAATGTGCTTGGCTTGCTTGGATACACGAGCGGAATCCCTATAGGCGCCAATTTTTGTTTGGATCATACACTCAAGTGGTGCGACTGAAGCGGATGTCAAATACTGTGGGTACTCTTCGCCTGGGAATTCATCCAGGTGAGCTCGAGGATGCGGAATAACGTCGACGTTGAAATTTTTGCTTCCGATCTTGACATATGTCGATTTCAAAGCTGATTTTCCGAATTTCTCATTCTCCAGCAACTTCTTCTTCGTTGACTGAACGGCTCCTCCTGGCACAAGTATATCGAAATCCGATGTCTCTCGAAACTTCATGCCCATTGCCCAAAGTGCGCCGGCACCAATGATGCGATAAATCGGAGGCTCATTTTCTGGAGACAAGGCAAAACCGATGGTGTCTAGGCCGCGTTGCATTTCCTCTTCAGACATTGGCGATTTCTCAATAACTTCCACAGCGGCTACACGACGGGGAGCAGGCGGAGGAGGAGCCGCGTTACCCTCGCTACAGCTGTGACAATTTCCTCCGCCACGAAGAAACGGTATCGATTCGTTTGTGTTCGACATTTCGCTGCCAGTGGAACAAGGTTAGCTCACGTTGAAGAGAACACAGAATCACGAACGTAATCTCTATCTCATTACTAAGGTGCAGAGCTAGAGTGTTGTTTCCTAATTGGAAGTTCTAGTCACTTCCTTCCTATTTCCTATCTTTCTTATTCCTACTATGAACTTTTCCGCTTTAATCCCCTAAAACATTGTACCCTCTTGCTTACTCGATGCAGAATTGAAACTTTGGGCTTATCTACATTTATCGTTGGACCAGCCTTGTCTACTGGTATCTCAGCTTCAGCATTCTTCGTTTGTATCTGCTCCTCTTCACTCCTTCTCTTCTCAACCACTTCCCATCCCTCCTTTCCCGCCTCCACCACCTTCACTTTTATTCCTGGTTTCTTCCTTCCTGCCCCGAGTCCTGCGTACCCTCTCTGGTTCGCAACAACAAGCTTCCCAGTCGCTTCGTCACGGAAACAGCAGCTGTAATGCATGTGCCCGAAAGCCCAGAGCTTCACCATCGGGGACAGCCAACACGACTCTCCGGACAAATCCGTAACAAAATTGCTCGACACTGAACTTCCCTCATGCCTTGGATCGTTGGCTCTCGGATCCACTGTCGGACTGTAATGCGTCGCAATTACGATTTGACGATGGGGCTCATGTTCCTCGATTGTAGATACTTGAGAATTTAACCATGCAAGATCTTTTTGGTGTTCCTCTCGATGCTGATCTAGGGACCACTGCTGAATACCACGTTCACTGTTTAGATCCGTCGAGCGAGACGCAATGTCCGATTCTTGGTCTTGCTGCACGGCAGACCATAACGTACAGCCTAGGATTGTGATGGTTTCGTTGAGATCGTAGCGATTGCGACACAGAAACTTGAAGCGACCGCCGAAATCATTTTTAGCCTCCATTTCAAAGTCGCGCAGGAGTTTGTGTGCGTGCTCGTATGTTGTTCGATAGGGTTCGTGGTTCCCCAGTACGTAGAATATAGAGCATCCTCTATTTTGTTCGAGGATACGGCGTAGGAATTGGAAGAGCCCTGCGTCTACGACGAGGCCGATATCGCCAAGCAGTAACAAATTATCGGCTTGGACACTGAAACGGAAGGAAGCGTATTGTGGCGCTGTGAGTGGCGTCTCGAGATGGAGATCAGAAACGATCTGGAACTGGGGCGTGAAGAAAGCCATTTTCCGTGTTGGAGTGCGTGAGAGGTTTGGAGAGTGGGTGCTTGGGGGCAAGGCTGGGTGATTTACATGTGGAATCGTTGGACTCAAGACCGACAACTACGGTTCAGTACCTTAACCGAAGCAATAAGATATGACAAACCCTGCAGACTCTACACGTCAAAGGGTTAATCTGCTCGAGATCATTGGAAGCGCACTTTCTGTACACATGACAGAGTACCCTTTTCAGGGCAAGTTCATCTGCTGACCTTGTTACAGACGTTGACCAGAGGACTCACATTACTAATACCTACCATATGATTTTACGAGACTAGAGTGTCTGTAGCTTCTGATAGCTGTAGGAAATTTCCAAAGAGTCCCTTATGTGTCTCAACAGCAACTCCTCTAGTTTGCTCAGTCCTAAATGCGGTACTAGAGTAAGTGCAGTATTGACTGAGCTGCAAGCGCTTTCGATGAAACTTGATTATTTGTCTGCAGTGCTAACATGTCATGCCAAGACTCGCTAATTACCCTAGTGCTGTCTCGCTTCGTCTGGGTAGCATCCTATAGCATCCTATTCAACGTACTAACTTGCATGTCTAATGATGACGATTCGACTCTGAAGACCAACTGTAGCTGAAACCCCCAGCACTAGAAAAACACGGTCGAACAAGGTCTCAATAAGATCAAAGTGCATTTTCTACGAAGACTTCCTCCTTACGAGTATAGAATACATGTCGTTGGACTGATTTACGCTTTGCTGTCCTTCCCATCAGCCACATAACGGTGGCTCTCAAGCTCTTCACCTTCTAGCACCCCAGTAATTGTACCAACGTTTTCATGATCGAAGAAGCCCTCGTTTCTGGCCATCTCTTCGAACGCAAGCTCCTTCTCATAGCTGGATGGCAGCAGACGTACAGGCCAGATTGAACAAAGGACGTAATACACCAAACCGCCCATACACAGCGATAGCAGAAATCCAAGCTTGTACATATTCTTGCTAGCTGGAGCAACAGAATCAGGGTCCAAGGAACCGGCCACACCGTGAACAGTAAACGCAACTCCAGCAATCCACGCAGCGAGCATGCGCAAGTTCCAGCCTTTGTAGTACGAATAGGGACTGTCTGGCGTTGAGACGTACAGCGACGGGACATGAAAATTACCCCTTCTGATGATCCAGTAATCGGTAATCATGCATGCGCAGATCGGCATGAGAAAAACGGTATAAGAGCCCAAGAAGGTGAGAAACGAGGTGGCAGACGCGATAATCTTCCAGGGAACGAGCAGGGGTGCTAGTAACGCACAAAGTACTTGGCCACGCACGATGGTGAGCCAACGTGGGAAGATGCCTGTGAGATCTGCACCGACAGGGAGCGAGTTGCTGCCCGCGTTTGTGACGAGTACAGCCAGCATCATGCCAAAGGACGCAAAAACCATTCCAGCTCGCGCTCCTGCCGTCCAGTATTGGTCTAAGATGGCGCCATAGAGATCCCACACGTTCCAGTAACTCTTCCCTAAGACTTGGGTGGCTGCTGCTGTCGTTGCAGTACTGAGGAACATGACCAGTACTTTGCTAATCAGGATTCCGATTCCCTGGCTCCAGGTTACGTCGCTGTACGAGTGGCCATAGCGTGAAATGTCCGGCTGATTTATGAGAACAGGGGCAAGAGCACCCATTACAGAGTTGATAGCCTGTATCATAGGCCAGATCAGATCGGATCCCGATAGACGGATTTGCTTTGTCGTGTAAGAAAATTCCCCTATTTGGCCCCCGTTGGCAGAAATCATCCACCCGAGAACGCCGAAGAGCGAGATCGTGGTATACACGGCTTTGACGACGAAGAGATGACGGAGCATTGTAGGATGAATGAACATGACCGGCATTTGGACCTGACAAAGGTTAGCAAGTCAACGCCTAATGTGAGGGGGATGATCGGATATGCGTACCAGCCAGAACAAGAAGAAGCTCAACAAGTCCCTAGACGTTATGCCCGCTCTCTCAGGGAGGTGGTTGGGAATGTTATTGTACCCATTTCCGAAGATACCTCGCATAAATACAGTCGTAATTCTGCCCCCATAGTATGTCTGCGTTGCGAAATAGATGATGGCAACAATGGCTCGCACGAGAATGTAGAGACTGGCACCACGCACACCCGCGGCTGCGCGAACATAGACGGGAAAGCCGATAAAGTACTTGACTGCACCGCGGCTGTTGAGTACTACCAGAATAGTGAGAATCAGGGAACCGATTACGGCGGCAATCATCCCGTGCCACCAGAGCAAGCCGATTGATACAAGCGAGGCACCGAGGTTATAAGATGATGGACTGAAAGTCATGGTTAGGTAATAGGCAAAGTAGTGCTGCCATTTCCATTTTCTGTCCACTGCAGAAATTCAGTCTGACTTCTCATTGCAATCAAGGTCGAAACAGCTTACCCGGGGGACTTGGGAGAAGATCTTTATTGTAACGAACTTCTCCATGATCATTTGTGGTCTCCAGCGTTTCTCCGAACGAATCTGGGGAACTGAATGCAGCTTTGCATTTTTCCAAGAAACGAGACATTACAGAATATCAATGTTGGTTTGGACACGCTCGACGTAGCTGTGCCCATTCTTTATTTTGGATAATAGCAGCCCCGATATAAGCACGTTTGTCCTTCATTTTTGGCGGCCCGTGCAACAAGCCGCCACCAGACGGTAAGTCGCCAAGGCAGCATATTGCTCACATATCGAGACTCGGTGGTCTTGGAAAGATGGATGCAAGAGCAAGTTGGACGATAAGATGATAACGCGATAAGATGTCGGCACAAAAGAAGCCGAAACCGATAGCGGGATGGAGAGAACTAGTACTGGTATTTGAACTAGTCCTATTATGCCTTAGTACGGCGCCAAAAGCAAAGCGCGACGTAGTGGAGATGCGGTAACATTTAGCACCATCACACTAACGCCCTGCGACGTGTCGGGAGTACTCACTCATGTTTCATAACATCCAACCTGTTTCTGTGTCAACACTAGAAGCCGCTATCACTTCAGTCATGGTATCACGCCTTTCCAGCTTAGTTCTAGTCGCCAACGCAAAGCGGAGGATTACTCCATGCCGCGGCGTACGAAACACCTGTTATTTGCTACCTAAGGTCCGAGAAATGGCCTTTCATACTGCCGGAGCCTCACCAGTCTTCGAGCCTGGCTTGTACGGGAACATCTTGCGGTAGTGTTTGGCAATGTCCCTTCGAGTCGCAACCCAAACACGTTCTTTCTGAGAAATGTACTTCATGAAGTTGCGCAGGCTTTCCGATCTTCCTGGCTTCCCGGCTATCCTCGAATGCAGGGGTATGGTCATCATCTTTCCGCCTTCTCGGTATAAGCAGTCAAAAGTGTCTTTCAGATACTGCTCGTACACTGCACCGGCTGAACTGACGAAACCTGGAAGCATGTGAAACTTTCCATCATTGCCTCGAATGATATTAGTCTAGTCTCGTAAATTTCAGAGTGGCTTTTGCTTACAGTCGTAGTTGTATGGCAGCATCAACAAGCCTTCTTTCTCGGAATCAGGGAGGTCTTTCTCCCATGGGAGATCGATCCAGTATGGGGAATCTTCATTGTACACTTCTGAAGTGTACAGCATCTTGTGGCCCATCTCCTTCCACATAATGGGCAGTAGACTGGCAGTGTTCGGTGTGCCTCTTCCAAAGTACGCTCCTACAGGAAACTCGCCTGTACTATTGTTAGTTCAATGTTATACCATAACATCGGGGAGTGATACCAGTGGCTGCCTCAAGAGCCTTGCACGTCTTCTTGATATAGGCTTTATCATCTTCTAATGAGTAATCCCAGATATCAAGCCATCTATATCCATGAGCACCGATTTCATGGCCGTCTCTGACGCAGGCTTTTGCAAATGAAGGATTTCTCTCCATGGCTACAGCGATAGCCCAGAGAGTCATGTTCCAGCCAAACTCTTTCATCAGTCGGAAAATGCGCCAGGCTCCGCACCGACTTCCATACTCGTAGTCCTGCTCGCCGTTCAGGTGTCGCTGCTCTCTTCCGCCTCCCGATGGTCCCTTTTCCCAGAGATAAGGCTCACTGGTACCGTCGCCATCCATGGGGTTTCGCTCTCCACCTTCTTCGTAATTCAGTACAAATGACACTGCTATCCGAGCTCCATTTGGCCATTGCGCATCGTGGCCTTCTTCTCCAAAGCCTGTGTTGAACTGTTAGCGCTAGATTGTACTGCTTCTGTTCCAGGATTTCATACCTTCAAAATCTCGAGGCAACTGCAAGGATTCCTCAACGTGAACCATGGCTGATGTAATTAAAGGTATCTTGTCGCAATGAATAAGTCTAATAGAGCATCCAGCACGAAGCCTTATCGCTTCAACATATGACCTGGGAGAATGTTTCTGAGAGGATTCATGGAATGCTTGCTTGTTGGAAGCTAGGAACTTTTTTGAGATCACTGATCCGGGATTGCACTATCTCCATGATCAAGCACTTCCTACGACCGATTTAATCAAGGCCATTATCCTACAAACAGAAGGTGCTAGTTCATGGTAGCTATTATTCGAGCATCGGAAGTAATGATCCCGATAATCGGCGAGGCCGCCCACCAACCCCGCCTGGCTTTTCTGCTTCCCTTCCAAACATTACCAGCGCTCTTTTTTGAAAGCCGAAACACGGCCGTCCTACGAATTGGCTGCGTCTATCAACACTGTATTGGTCTAGATGTGCCTAGCTTACACCAGGAATGCTAAAACAAACATGTCACATTACCAACGTGCCAACTCAATTTCCTTGTGGAATAATCTTGTTACAGCAGCTACAAAGTACAAAAGTCAAATACGCCAGAGATAATGTCGGTATTTTCCTTGGATGCAAGCCATGGCAACCCTGTCACAAGGGAGACCGTAGACACTCTTTGCGCTCAACTGGGGGTAACTATAGAGGAAAAAGAGAAGGAAGACTACCGATGTCTCCTTGCGGTATTTCACGATGCAAGCGAGCAACTTATGGCTATGGATGGTAAGTTTCCCTCATTCCTAATGCACCGAGAAACATGAACTAAACCAGTACAGACTACGTCCCACATGTTGATGAAGAACGCTTTCCAAGAGAAAACATACATTTTCCAGAAAGATCAGAGAATTCGCATGGGGCCTGGGCGTGGAAGTGCAGCATTATTGACAAACAGGCCGACGGTCAAGGCAAGCTGCACGGCAAGACTTTTGCCTTGAAAGACAACATAGCCGTCAAGGGCGTGCCCATGCTACTCGGTACCAACTTCATCAAGGATTACATACCAGATGTCGATGCGACCGTCACATCTCGCATCCTAGAGAGTGGTGGCCGAATCCTTGGCAAGGCTGTGTGTGAAAACTTGTGTCACTCGGCTACAAGTCATTCCTCTGGCACTGGCATAGTCGAGAGTCCGTTCGCGAGAGGCTACAGCGCAGGCGGAAGTTCCAGCGGATCAGGAGTTCTCGTTGCATTGGGAGAAGTTGACGGAGCCATTGGTGCAGACCAAGGAGGCAGCATTCGCGTTCCAGCGGCCAACTGTGGAATTGTAGGCCTAAAACCCACATTCGGACTGATTCCGTATACCGGCTGTGGCAGCAATGAGCCAACAAATGACCACATTGGTCCCATGACACGTACTGTACTCGACAATGCCGTTCTGCTTGAAGCTATTGCAGGAACCGACAACATCGATGATCGATCATTTGCAGCGCCGCATCCCTCGAAAATTCCACTCTATAGCTCCATCGCCACGCTGCCCGTGGAAAAGCCACTGCAGGGCAAAAGGTTTGCAATCATAACCGAGTCCCTCTCCACACCCGCCATGGATCCACGCGTCGTTGCAACCTTCCGCACAGCCGTATCAAAATACAATTTGCTCGGCGCAACCATCAGCGAAGTCTCCATCCCCCTCCACTCCAAAGGTGCCGCAATCTGGACGGGGATCTCCAAAGTCGGTGGTTTTCTATCAAAAACAAGCGGTGCGTTTGGGCGCCGCAGCCACCAAATGCTCAGTCTGAACGCGCTGTTCCACCCCATGAGCCAGCAGAACTGGGACGAAGCGTATTCCTCGACCAAGAATATCTATCTCAACGGCCTGTATGCCACGCAGAATTTTCCACATCTACTTGCCAAAGCAACGAATTTATCGCGCCAGCTGCGCGATGCTTATGATGCTGCGTTGCAGGAATACGATGTCTTGCTTACGCCTACCCTGCCGTATGTGGCGACGAGTCATCCGGCTGCGGATGCGAGTCCGCTGGAGCAGATTAAGAAGCAGATTGGACTTACGGCAAACACGGCGCCGTTCAATCAGAGTGGGCACCCTGTGCTCGCGCTGCCGATTGGCATGTTGGAGGTGCAGGAGGGGCCCGGCGTCAATGATGGAGTCAAGCTGCCCGTCAGCATGCAGATTGTGGGGAAATGGTGGGGAGAAATGGAAGTGCTCAAAGCAGCGTATGCGTGGGAGCAGGCGTCGAATTGGAGAGAGTTGTGAAGATAGAGAGAGAAACGGGTATGTATCTAGGTATTTGAAAGAAAAAATAGTAGTCAAGACCCACCACAGAAACGTGGCTAAAATGTAATGTACAGCGTATACAATGCTAATGTATGCTTATCATCTCGTGCTTCACGAGAAACTCCAATGCATCAACAAAGCATTTTATCACTTGCCACCGTGCATCTCCCCTTCTCCAACAACCGTATCCTCTTCTAAATCCAGCCTCTGCCTCAACTCCAAGGCGCCCGCGTTCTCGTCTGGCCGCTGCAACCCCCTATCCTTGATAAATATGCACCCCACCAAACACAGCGCCATAAACGGCACATTCATCACAAACACGGTGCGACTCGCCACCGCATACGCATGCAAAATCTGCCTCTCCTGATGCTGGTCCAGTGTCTCGAACCGCGGCACGTCATACGAGCTGAGAGCCAGGGGGCGAAACTCAACGGGCATAGCTCTATGCAGCGAGTTCTGGAGTGCGGCGGCGGAGATGGCCAGGCCAACGGCGCCGCCAAGACTGCGTATGAAATTGCGGTTGGAAATGACGATTGCGCGGTGTGCTTTTGAGCAGTGTGCTTGGAGTGCAATGAGGACGGGTTGGAAGACGGCGCCGATGCCGATGCCCTGGACGCCGAGAATCAGCGCCATGGCATAGAGCGGTGTGTCGAGGGAGAAGAGGCAGGTTAGGCCTACGCCGAGGGTCCAGAGGAAGAGGCCCAGCCAGATGACTTCGCCGTAGCGCTCGCGCCGCGAAATGTACTGGCCTGAGGCGATGGAGGAGAGCGTTTGTGAGGCCGTGATGGGGAGCATGAGGGCGGCGGTGGTGAGAGGGGAGAGGCGTCGCGCGTTTTGGAAAAACAGGGGGAGATAGTAGGTTTGTGAGTAGGCTACGATGCCGAAGAGGAAGTTTTGCAGGAGCATGACGGAGACGGGACCGGATTTGAAAAGAGATACTGGGTTGGTGGAGTTAGTTGGAGCCGTTGGGGCCAAACTGGGGTATGGATGTTGGGAGACTTACGAGGCATCATGGGCAGTACTGCAACGCGATGTTCGATGTAGATGAACGCTATGAGGCAGCATGCCCCGAGAGTCAGCATGGAGATGACCATTGGGGAGTCCCACTCAAAGTAGTCGCCACCTCCTGCGACCGGGACAAGTGTGAGTATCAGTGCTGCACTCCCGAAGAATATACCCCCATAGTCAATCCTCTTCAGCACAGTCTTCATATCCGCCCTGGGCTGGTCTTTCGGCGTCGGCAACACAAGCAGACACAGTCCGCCACAGGCAGCTGCAATGGGACTCAGGAGCCAGAAGAAGCCTCTCCAGGTACTCTTCTGAACAAACGTACCGGCGATGAAGGGGCCAGACATATTGCCTAGTCCCACGCAAGCGCCAATCATGCCCTGCCATTTCCCGCGTTCTTTCAGCGTAACCACGTCGGATACAATCATCGCCGAGAGCGAAACTATTCCTCCATTCGCCACTCCGGAGAGACCTCGGAAAACGTAGAGCATATCGGCATTGCGAGACAGGCCGCAGAGGAGGTCCGAGACTGCTAAGAGTGCTAGGGCAGATAGGAGAACCGACTTCCTGCCTGGAGACTGTCGGTTAGCTATGTTTCCTTTCACTCTACATGTCAAAAGGGACTCGACACATACCAAACAGGTCGCTCATTCTCCCATAAAGCACGTGGAAGATTGTGGTCGCAATCAGCGCGCTCGTACCAGCCCAGCTGATTGTGTCTTCGGCATCGAGCTCGCGTCCGATTGTCGAAAGCGCCACGCCGATTCCGGTCTGGTCTATGAAACAAACTATATGAGATATGGCCAGGGTCGAAAGGACAATAAGGAGTTGTCTGCGCGGCAACAGGTTCGTCTGTTGCATTACGTCGGCTTCAGCGGCGGTTTTACGTGCTGCCATCCTAGACGAGATGACCAGCTTCGAATGCAATTTCATCTTGGGTATGGTGGAGAGGGAGCTCACGGAACCTTGGCCACAGGATGATGTTATCGAAAGACGTTGCAGACCTTGAAGGGTTCTGTCGTTTACGGGAATGCCGTCCGGTTTTGCGCATCCTCGTGATGAACTGTAGTGCAAGAAAAGGGGTTGCCGTAATGGCAACACGCCTGCGGTGTGTTGGTTTATAATCAAGAGAAAAATTCGGAAAGACATTTTCGGTGGTAACGCCAGCGTTGAGCCTGTGCCATGGCTGAAATTAATTGTAGGGCCATGGTACGGCAGCAGAGGCTGTGGATCTTTTTCTTCGGCTGCCATTGGACATGGTTCTCAAACGATGGTTCAGAACTCTAGGACTCATTACCTATGAGGTGATAGAAGGGTCCACGACCAGACTGTTCCAGGGAAACCGGTATCTACGCCAAGCACCCGGCATTGGATCGCATGGTTTCCAAACACCCATTGCATATCACGCCGAATAGTCTCCCGGATGCAGGTGGCACAGAGTCTTTCAGGCGTCTCCCACGATCAATGTACCGGTGTCCGAGGGACTAACGCAAAAACCATATATAAAACGCTATCCTACACTGACCTCCTCGCACCACCAGTTCGCCGCCTTGGTAGCATATGTAATAAAAAATTTCTCATGACATGGTATGAACGAACCCAGACCACCTGCTCACTTTTTCCTTTTGCCACATCAACTTTGCTACCTGGACAACTGGCAAATCGTACGTGCAACAAGAATAACTAAACACTTGCATGGTATAGTGAACCCATACTCCGTTCTCAGTGGATGCCCGGCTAATACAAGAGCACCTATTTCCGAGAACGCCCAGCTAAACAAAGTCCCAAACTACCTCTTCTCCTCAGATGAATATGCTGGATTGACACAGCTATGGTATCTTGCAACAAAGTGAAACAAACGCCGATCTCAAGACGCGATTTTGCGTCGGGCATGAGAAGTCGTAGCCATGGCCGAGACTAAACGACATGGGTGTATCTGCATCTTAGCCACGAGCGCGACCACTGCGCCGGACCATGGTAGTGCCGTTGGTAGTGGGACTTGACGTCACCGCCGCCTCGGTGCCATTTGCCTTCGCTCTTGTCGCTCTGGCTTTGGCTGCACTCTTTGCAGACTTGGGTGGTGTAGCTTCTTTGACCGGCTCGGCAGCCTTGCGCTTTTGGACAGGCGAAGACTTTGCGCCGTTTGTCTTGTTCGCAGCCTTGCCTCTTGCTGATTTCCTGGTCGGCGCAGGTTCAGGCTCCGCCTCTGAAGAAGGCTCCGGGTTTGAGAGTTCGGATGCTTCAGCAGTTTCTTTCTCAGCTGATGCCTCCGCATCAACCATCTCCACATCCTGCTCAGGGGCGGGGCTCGACCTATCTTCAGCCTCGTCGTCAGAAGCATCAGCCTCATCTTCGTCGGCCTCTTCAGTGCCGGCTTCCTCTTCTTCTTGGTCACTCGATACTTCAACGTAGCTCTTGTGCACATTGCTCCGCCGGTCGCTCTTTCTCCGGGGCCCACTTGACGGAACGATGCCGCCATCAACATCGCTTACGTCATCATCATCACCAGTTCGCCTCTTCTTCTTGGGTGTCTTCACAGGCCGGTCTGCCTTGGCCTTCTTCTCTTTGATAGGCCTGTCCCCCTTGGCTTTCTTGCGTGACTTCTCGGCGCCTTCAGAAGCTTTCCGTTTCTTATTCCGGATGGTTTTGCGTACAAGCGGGTCAAGCTCATCGACCAAATCTTCTCCAATCCACGTTTTCATGGCAATTTCCTGCGCTCGCTCATGGCTCTCGAGAGGTCGGAAGATTCCCGATGGGAGTTTCATCTTTCCTGGATATAGCTGCATGGTCCAGTTGTTCTGCTCTTCCCATGAGCGGATCAGAGCTTGTGCCAAGTCAGACAAGACATAGAGGTTCTCATCAGCCTGCTGCGAGGGCGCAATGCCATCCGCAACCCCCTTGACGCGTTGAGCCACGTGGAAAATTAGGGGCAAGTTCTCCTCTGTTGCTACACACTTCAGATAATACAGTATGTACTCTGACATTAGCTTCAGCGTCTCATCGTCTCGATCGAAATCGGGATGGTGAGCGAGTAAACTCAAGAGGCGCGCAAACACTGATTCTAGCACGGTTTCTTTCCGTGCAGCAAAGGCAGCGCGGCGTGCACGAATCCAGGTCATGGTGCTGTTCTTGATATTCTTGTCCGGCTCGTGTGCCAGGAAGAAGAGAATTGTGTAAAAGCGAGGGGGAAGACGACCTTGACCAAGGTACTTCATCAACTTGTCAGCAAACCCTTTGCGCACCTGCGTGCAGGGATCGTGCGTCACAAGAGCCAGCTGAATGAAGTCTGCAGAGGTCAAGAAGGGGTCGAGTCGCTTATGGCAAGAAAGCTTGAGCAACGAATTTGCTGCCAGAAGCCGTTGGCGCGACTTATGTGCGGCCGGGGTGTTATCCTCAGTCGAACCTTCGCCATTGTTCTTGACATAGCGATTCAATAATGTGTAGGTATCCTGAACAGCTTCCTTGGAGGTTGCCTCCGCAGGCAAAGAGCGTAGCCGATTGACAAGGATTTTGATAGCCCAAGATCGTCCTTGGATATCGTTGTCAGGGATTTCAATCCATTCAGTGTCAGCGTCAGCGTCAGTGGCGTGTGGTTTTTGCAAGACCTCTTGGATGGCCACTTCAATCACAGCATCCATGTCGTCTTCACAATCCGACTGTGCCAATAAGACTAGTTGACTGAGCGCAGCAAGCTTTGTGAGCCAGTGGGCACCACCATATTCGAACCCGTTGATGCTCTTTGAGAGGATTTCCCTTGCGTGCATTTCCTTTTTGTCGTCGCTGTTCATGATGATGGTGATTGCATGCTTGGCTGCTTGTGGAGGTGTACCATAGAATGCAAAGTTCAAGAAACTCTGGACTAATTTCCGGCTGTCCTTGCCGTTCATTGGAATGTCAGTGGGAAACTTCTTTGCAAATGCAGCACAAGCCTTGAGGTCATCCACTGCGCCGGGTGGATTGGGCTTGGTTGCCGTGGGCGCTTCGCTCTCGAGTGTCTTGCACAAATCCTTGACGTGCGTGGAAAAGACCTTGGGGTGCTTTGTGGAGATCTCCTTGAGAAGCTCATGGGCAGTAGCACCCAGGCCCTTGTTGTCGGTGCGAGTGAATTCGATGACCGCTGGAACATGACTCTTGTTGTAACACAACAAGCTGACACGATACAGCAGTGGGGTCAAGGTATCAAGCAGAGAAGCACCTGGTCCATCCTCGATCCTCTTCCTAAGCTCCTTAATAGATCTGTAGACCTTGCGGTAGTCGCTCGCCGGATCCATGCAAAAGCGCATGAGGGCGTAGGCACGGCGGTCGTGAGCTTTGGCAAACTTCCATAGATCGTCCCTAACCTTAGTTGGATCGGGGAGTGTCTTCGCGTAGTAAGTGATGAGACCTTCGAGATTGGTTGTGACATCCTTTCCGCTCTTGTCAGTGACGCCGCCGTTGTATTCTTCACAGAGTTTGAGGAAATGCTCCATGTATTTGGCACCAGGACCTTGATTTCCTTGTTTGGCAAAAAAGACCTTTTTGGCCTTTTCTCCCAACCCGTTTACAAGGACGAGTTGCCTCTCAGTGCGGATCTTGTCTAGGTCTGCTTCTGTATAAGTCTGTTCGCTAGCTGCTTGGCTGTCTTTGACGACCTGCGAGTTTCCAGCAGGTGCCGCCTTGGCTTTCATAGGAGGATATGCCAGAGGAAGCAGCGATTCGTACAGTGCCAAGTCGACCTGAACGTTAATTTCAAGGTCGTTTACGTAGCAGGCTTCGAGAATACGCGATGGAATCGGCCCCAGAAGTGACTTGACGATCTCGTCGCCTTCGGCAATAGCGCCTTCAGCCACTCCCCATATCCTACCGAGAAGCCTCATAGACTCGGAATGAATGACGTTCTTCTTGTCTTTGACGCGGTCAGCGAGATTAGAGAGAATAGATCCAGGTTCTGCCATGCCGCCATTGCTGCCAAGCTTGCGAACGATGTCGTTGAACTCAAAGTGCGCGACTGCTTTGACCGCTGCTAGTCGAACCTTCTCATCGCTGTCAATCAAGCATTCGGCGAAATACTTGAGCAACTTCTGTTCTTCTTCCGGGTCAAGGCCAATACCACCCGCTGATGTCATCAATATGCGACCGATACCGGTAGTCCAAGAAGCACGAATGACAGCCGATTTGTCGTTCTTGCGCTGCAGGAATGAATGGTATGCGACAGGATACTGCGTAGGGAAGGAGTTGATGGAAACAGGGGTGGTGAGATAATCAAAGGGTCGTGTAGACTCGGTTCGCGACAAACTCTGTGATGGGTATGCTACTGGATCCAGGTCGGGTAGAGGGGGAGGGCCAGCAGCGCCAATACCCGAGATCATGTCGCCGAAGGTCTCGGTCGCAAGCTGACGAAGCTGCACGCTCTCCGTGGCGAGCTCGTCTTGCAAGCGTGGAATAATCTCCTGTAGGACACCGGGGCAGCACTTCCACAGCTCGCGCAGCAGGCGGTGTGCTTTGTGTGCCTCGTTCAAGTCCTCTTCTGAAGGTCCCTTTGGGAGGTCATCATCGCCGTCGTCCTTGGCATGACTTTTGTACGTTGTTCCCAAGTTGGTGAAGTCGACTATGACTGAGCTAAAGTATGTGCCAATCAGACGAGCCATCTTCTCTGGAAACGAATTGCAGACATTCTTGGCCATGTTGTATGCAGGCGGCGCTTCTTTACGGCGCAGCGTAGACTGCTTTGCGTCAACTTGGACGTTCTTCTTGCCCTTGGAGGTGCCGAGTGTGATGGGGTCAGCCCAGAGGAACTGGGCGACTATGACGTCGACGACATCGTGTGGGACTGATGGGGCTTCGTCTATTATGGTGGAGAGCACTTCGGTCATGTTGTGCTCGATGTTCTTGCTCAGGTCCTCGCCCTTGGATGGGCCGGCCAGCACATCGAAGCAGGTGGTGAAGAGGGCAGAGGTGAGCTTGTCGGAGCCCGGAATCTCGTTGATGAGGAGGATACTCTTCCATTCAGCAAGCGAGCGTAGTATGTACATGTGCTGGCTGTTGTAGGGGTGTGAGGGGTCGGCGAGGAGGGGGAGAAGCTTGTGAATGATGACGGAGAAGATTTCCTGGGGCATCTATGAGTATGTCTGAACACTGTCATGGCTTGTCTGGCATACCTTGAGCTTGGAGGCAGGATAGGGCGCATCTGGCGCAAACAGCTTGAGCATGTCGACGATGGAGCACACGGCCCACGCGCGCACGCCATTGTCCTTGTGCTGGAGGAGGCTCTGGTGAGCAAGGGACTCGGCGACGGGCATAAGAGACTCGCGATGCGCCTCTTCCTGGTCGACGGTGCGCAGTTCGTCGTGCAGCGCCTTGAGTCGCGTCAACAGGTCGCTGACGCCCATCTGCTTGCCTGGGCGGCCGACGAGCGGCTGGTTGAACCGGAGCTTCTTGAGGCCATGCTGCTGCTGCTGCTCCTCTTCTTCCTGCTCTTGCTCCAGCTCCTGGTCCTTTTCCCCCTCTTGGACAGCTTCAGTCGCAGCGGCCGCGCTACGCCGACTGCGAGGTGCCATGTCGCGTGGCTGCGCGTGCAATGCGGAGTGCGGACAATGATTCTACAGCTTCCGGTGCAAAGGTAATTGGGCGCGTGGACAGGGAGAAGAAACAGCCCGAGACGCCGGCGGTGGGGGAGTTGGCTGGCGACGCGGTGATGGCGGTGGTGGTGATGATGTAGCGTGACAAGGTCGAGGGCACCATGGGCCTGGCGACTTTCTGAGCAGTGACGCGCTAGCCAGCTGGTACGCGACACATGCTCCCACCCGCCCGCACTGCCGCCGCCGCCGCCCTCATGCTTATTGCCTACCTGACCCGCTATCCACCATCTTCACCCCGCATCGGCGCCATGCCAGCTCGACATCAATCCTTGCCCGCGATACGCACCACGGCTGCATCCCCGAGGCGCCTTGCAGTCTTCGCCGCTGTCTAGAAGTGCTTGGGTTGGAAATTTCGCCTCTGCGCTCGCCATCTCCAAGCCATCTCTAAGCCATCTCAACCACCAACAGAGGCCAAGACATACTCTCCACGTGCGTCTCCATCCTGCTGCATATACGGCCGCCATTTCCTTCTTCTTCTGCTTCACGCATAGCGAGCCGCAATGGAGAGGCCCCAAATCTTCCAGCGGGTACGCAGAGTCGTCACTTTATGTATGCTGTGCCCACGCTAATCCTATTTCAGCTCAAGCAGCCATGCATCCGCCTCTTACAAGCCACTACCACTCTCTCACAGACCCCAGACTCTCGAAAACAGCTGATAGACGCCCTCTCTGATCTGCTGGCTACGCTTCGCCCTCTGTCCAGCCAGCCCGGTGTGCTAGATGCAAAACTCATCGAATACGTCTTCGTTCCGATTTCTCACGTGCTGCGAATCTCCCGCCAAGTGCCAGTCCGCGCACTTGAAGTTTGCCTCGAGTGCATTTCAGCCCTGCTATGTGCTGGTTGGGGTGGTGGCCTAGAGCCTGCTCTGTCAGGCCAACTACTTATCCTCTTTACCTTCCTCGCCAAACCCTCCTCTGCCGAAAATGGCATCTCGGCCACCTCAGAAGAGCTTCAATCCCTGGCGCTCAAGTGCATCTCGGAGTTGATGACAGAAGTGTGCCGAACGAAAAAGGGCCAAGAAGCCATCACGGCAACTCCAAATATCCCCACCTTGGGAGAGGCAGTTTTAGTCATGCTAGAGAGCCTAGCAGATAGCAAGTCTAATAACGTAAAGCTCCAGGCCATCAGTGCAACAAAGTCGACCATCAACGCCATAGGAGATGAAGATGCTCTCGCAAGCTTTCTCCCTAGGATAATATCATCCTTGACTAAGATTTTGACACCAAGTAGCAGCAACCGACCAGGCTTTCGCGTCGTAGAGCAAGGGCTGGATATATTTACGCTACTCCTAGGCCGCCTCCTGAGCGATGCAAAGGTTAAAGACCTGCCCGAGGTAACTCCCACTGAAGGTTCTGAAACTAGTCTCAAGGTGTTACGGTCGACTTCATGGCTGCAAGCGACTTCTTCGCAGATCAAAATCGCACTCGCCAATGTCTTCAAATTGCGAGATCACGATAAGCCAGAAGTCCGAAAAGCCCTGCTAAGGTTGTGCTTGTGCATCATACAAGATTGCCGCACTTCGCTCGCTCTCTGCATAGGCATGGCTACCGAGACCATCATCAGTCTTGCCGGTCACGAGGGCTCTAGTGGGAAGATTGAGAACGAGCTCAAGAGCATACTGTTCGTAGACCAGAGTCTGTCTGATCTACTACGCGAAAGCCTACATGGCTGGATACTGGCATTGCCACGATTAATGCAGTCCAAGGACGATCAGAGTCGCCGTCGAATCATAAATCAGATATCAGTGTCGTTCCGCCTGTTTGAGCAAGACCCAATCATTCTGGATGAGCGGTTGGCTGATAGTCTACGTGACGGTGTTTCGACCGTCTTCTCTGATGCGAGAGGTATGGAAGAAGTTGAAGAGAATACATACAATGCAATCACCGATCGGACTTTGGTGCTAAGCTCAACCAAATCACTATCCTTCTCGCCCATCAGCCTGCAACTGAAAGGTCAGGATAACATGATGGCAGAATTCAGGCTTCTGGTTCAAGAAGTTTCGAAATCCAACTCAGCCTTGGCGGTCGTTCAGGCACTCACCGGCTCCATTGATCTGGGTCCAACCGAAATGCGCCTGGCTAGTTTGTGGTTATCAGTCAACCTTTTAAGGGAGGTCACGACAACCAACCCATCCATTGACGATTTCATGGATCTCGGAACCCCGAATCCTAGGGAAGAACTTTTGGACGACTTATACTCGCAGTCTCTTTCATTACTGAATCAGCGTGAAATGGCTACAGAGACGCCGTGGCACTTCTTCGCCTTGGCTCTCGAGACGGTAGCCTTGCAAGCGAAGCGTTACAGGACTGAATTTCGACCAGAGTTGAGCGAGGTCCTGTACCCTATACTCCACCATCTTGGGAGTGCCAATACCGCCCTGCGTGAGCACGCTTTGACCTGTTTGAACATTGTTGCAGATGCGTGTGGTTATGCCAATGCAGGAGATCTTGTCGTTGAAAATGTTGACTATATTGTCAACGCCGTTGGGTTGAAGCTTGCCTACGGAGATGTTTCACCCCAAGCCCCCCAGGTCTTGCTCATGATGATGCGACTATGCGGCCCGCCTCTCTTGCCATATCTGGACGATCTTGTTGACAGCATATTCGACGCGCTGGAAAGATATCATGGATACCCTAAGCTTGCTGAACTATTGTTTTCGGTCCTAAAGGGCATGGCAGAAGAAGGTGCCAAGACATCTCAACTTGCAATTACAATAGATGACAAGAAGGAGCACACTCGTAGCCAAAGAACAGGGCCCACGATGAAGGATGTCATGGAAAAGCTGGAAAAGCTCGAGGCTGATGCACGACGCCGAGATGAGGAGGAAAAGAAAGCTCCGAAAGAGGCATTCCCTCGAAGCCCCTGGAAAGAAGAAAAGTCAGAGAATGCCGAGGGCAGTCCCAACGAAGAGGATGAACAAGCACCGTCGCAGAGTGAGGAACCCCCACCTCCGGCTCCTCGTACCTTTACCGTTCTTCTCAAAATCTCCGAATTGACGCAACACTACCTGACAACCACTTCTCCGGCACTGCGCAACTCTTTACTATCCCTTCTCCGAACTACTATTCCTGCGTTGGCCAAGCATGAAAACTCGTTCCTACCGCTTATCAACACTCTCTGGCCTGTGCTGCTGCCTCGACTACATGACCCGGAGGCATATGTAGTAACAAACGCTCTGGATACCATGGCGTTAATGTGCGAGTATGCAGGCGATTTCATGAGGACAAGAATTGAAGATGCATGGGATATTATAGCAAGAGTGCACAAACGCACAAAGACAAGGGATAATTCCAGTAAACCCAATGACAGAAGCGCAGCAATGCTTTCTACGGTCAGAATGGAGGCAGGTATGAAGAAGCTTTCAATGGACCCTCAGTCTACTACCGACCTGTCGCGCCCAGAGCTATATGTCGATGCGCCCACACGCATGATCTGGAACAGCCTTGTCAACTTGTTATGCGCCATCGCCAAACACGTCACTGTCCGGGCCGAGCGTTTCGAAGACATGCTCGATATACTGGACCCTGTTTTGACACTCGTTCACGTCCGCGAGGCGCTGGACCATAGCAATGCTGATGCTGTTTGGTTACGACTTTACAAGAAGAGCCGACAAGCAGGTATCAAACAACACAGCACCAGTGGTGCGGTGGCGCAGACACAGAGAATGCTTGCGAAAGTGCCTATCGGGAAACCACATTGGCACTTTGTACAGATTTAGAGGCACTTTTCTTCAACTTACGAAGCTATCAGATTCCAGTATCAGTATGTAATAGATGGAAACGCTAGCTCGATAGCTGTGATGGTGCACAAGCTCGCGCCCTATCATGTATATGTCAGGTACGAGAATACACGCGATCATTCCCAGTTGGATCTAGTCTGGGTATTTGACTCATTGTCCTGTGGTCATGAAATGGCATATTGTTAGTTTCTATAGCAAATACAGAAAGTAGTAGAGTAGAAGCGCTGCTATTGAGACCTATACCTATCTTCGATTATTCACCTATGCCTTCTGGATCCCGCAAGTATATACCAAGCATCCAATCCACAGCTGCATTATGCCAGATGCAAAAGAAACACGCACTTACATAGAAAGTGACGACTAGGCGATAGGCGGCGCCGCATACCAAAAACGGGAACAAGCAGCGCCCTTCGGCCTTGGCAGAATCCAGATTGCGTCAACCGCATGGTGGCACTTGGCTGGGTGCGTATCCGACAGCCTCGCTTACGAGGTACGCGGGGATTAACGTCGCAGGCATCTAACGGGTATGTAAATAGCCTGGCATCCGCCCATGGCACCGTCATTTATCTCAATCGTCTCGTTTTGATTTTGCCACTCGTTCCACGATACACCTACCCAGCTATCTTTTCAAATCCCAATCTGTCGCGATCACTGTTCCAGCGTGTCTTTAGTGTACGTCCAAGGTTTTCTTTGATCCTTCCAATGAGATGATATAAGTAATACCAATTGACTGACGCTGTATTCCAGACAATGGCCGAAGCAACGCAGCTCGTCTATCAACGAGATGGAGAGCGGCTACTTCACAGTGCCAAAGTCATTTCCATTGTCCCAGTCTCTGAACTCGCAATGCCAGACAAAGACCTCATAAAGGATGCACCGGAAATCGAGCACGCTATCATCACCGACTCCACCATCTTCCACGTACAGGGCGGCGGCCAGCCCTCAGACACCGGAATCATGGCTCCCTCCTCTTCCTCTGATGGTGATGACGCAGCCGCCAAAGATAAGCCGTCATTTCAAGTGAAATCAGTCCGCCACCCAGCCCAAGGCCACCAAGTCCTGCATTTCGGACACTTCATTCCCCCCGGCGGAGCCAGTGCCCCATTTCCATCAGGCACCTCTCTGCAACAACACGTCGACGCCGAGAAGCGCAACCTGCATTCGCGTCTGCACTCAGCGGGCCACATTCTGAGTCTAGCAATCTACGCACTCTGCGCCTCCGGCGAGCTTCCTCCGCTCAAAGAATCAAAAGCCTCGCACTACCCAGACTCCGCGTCCGTCAGCTTCCACGGCACACTCGAGGCCAAGCACAAAGACGCTATCCAAGCCAAAACAGACGAGTTTGTCAAGTCGGCGCGCCCCATCCGCATTCACTGGTGGCCCATGGACGAGCTGCTGGAAAAGTGCCATGGCACTACCGATGGGTTCGCGTTGCCTGACGGCGAGACTATGGGCAGAGTGGTCGAGATGGAGGGGCTCGGGAGTTATCCTTGTGGTGGCACCCATGTCAGCGATTGTAGTCTTGTGGGCAGGATTGAGGTCAAGAAGATTTCGAGGTCAAAGGGTACAACCAAGGTGTCTTATAGGGTTGCGTAGGAATCCCTGAGATGTGCTTCTGTTGTGTGGAGTGAGAGAGAGTTACATGGGGAACCAGTGGTGGGCTGTTGGGATTGAGCGCTTTCATGCTTGTTGTTCTTCTTAAGTGCCTTGTGGCTGCTGAGTGTGGCAGTGAAGCAATCCAGGGCTTAGTGTAGAAAGGTATACAGCCGTGCGTGTGGTATAGACGTGAGTTAGAAATAAATCATAAAGCATCATCTTTTCTTCATCATATTTTTCAAAGCGAACTCTTCATATTCATTAGTATCAGCCTTGCACATACACATACACATGTGGCAGACAGTCAATCCTTTTTGTTAGCACCTACCCAGCAGGCACACTGACCACGACTACTATCTACATTCTATCTTTATCAACATATGATAGATAACTGCATTATTCAATCCTGCTAAGCTAATTTTGACTTGCCATCCTGCATAAAAAAATCGATTGCTTAATCCAATAATGGTGCGCGATGATCGCCAAGCATTTCAGCTCCTTCAGCTTCCCATAATGTGGCGCTAGCTAGCCAAATGCTGTCGTGCCCATGTTTTACTTCAGCTGATAAGGGTGTCTAGGCGTCGCATTTCGCATACATATCTAGTCATGGGAACATTGTGTAAGTTTGGTAGCGACTTAAAGTGCCGTCGGGTAGCCTGATATCTCCATGCTGCTAATTTTCTCCCTTTGAGTTGCGACTTGAAGCTTTGTTTGTTTGTTACATCTCTAGATCTGCTACGAGACGGACTCCTAGCGTCACTGCATTGATACTCTCAAGCATCCGATATGAATGATTCATCGTTCGACTTTGATCGGCTTGGCCCGTTGAAGTGGAATAACACCAACTGCACCCAAAATATAAAAATATGGCACTACCTTGAGTATGAACGAACCAGGGACCCCAAGCATGCTCTCGAATATGATTCCTCTGAAGAAATATATGGTTACATTATGCAGGGTTTCAAGGATCTCGTGCAGCCGTATACGACGGAACAACCGCCTAATACTCAAGCATTCTGGAACTGGGTCAGTAAATGGAGAAGCACCTTCAAATATAGGATCTGGTGGTTCAGCATGGAAAACTGTAGCTCACAAATGTGTAAAGCTTTTGGCTGGGATGGCAGCCCGGACTTGGTGGGAGTAGGGGTAAGATGTTCATCCGAGAACGTGACATGGAAACAAGCATTCTAACAAACACAGATGCTGGCTACCTACACCATACAAGCAATCCTAGTTACCCTTTATCTGTTCGCAATCCTTGGAGTTCGTCTCGACAAACTACCACCACAGGTACAGAGCTCGCGCATACTCTCCCGGACATTACATTCCGTACAGCACTCGACGGCTGAGTTTCTCTCGGCGTCCTCAGTATTTTCCCTTTCTATACTTATTGCCTCTATTATTTCGATTTCCTACTACGAAGAACTTCGCCCCATGACCTGGATTCTTGCACTGATTATATCTTTGAATTCCGTCTTCCCAGTCGCCATACTACACATATCTACATCAACGATGCTTCGGAGATCCAAGGGGAGGGTTTTCATGTGGTTTATCATAGACATCCTGCTTATTGGCTTGACCGTACGAAGCTCAATACTCTTTGCAGAATTCTCGGCATACGACGCATGGATAGAATACGAAACAAATCCATGCGCAAGAATTTCACTCCATGGAATCGCAGTTTTCTCACATATAATCGCTGGCTTCTTGTGTCTTGGTATTACTGGATATATTGTCGATTTCATGGTTTCTGTAATTCGGAATCGACCGGCGATGATGGTGCGGCTTCCTGATATAGCTCAGTGGGGAGTAGTCGGTGTGTGTATATGCACCATGTGGGGTTTCCTCGGTTGGCTTCTCAACTTGGCAATCAAGATACAATCTCGCGCCGGAGACAATAACAAGGACAGCGAATGGACTTTCGGACAGGTGTTGTCGCTCGCGACATGGGTACCCTTCGTAGTAGAGTTTGCTTATATCTGGTGGGAAGACCCATTGCAGGCGCTGCATGGGCGACTGATGGCACCATATGAGGTTGTTGTATCATCAAGGGAACAGAGTCTGTTAGAGATGCGACCCTCAGGCGGAGACGAAGCAAGAGGCCGTTTCCAGAGACTGGAGTAAATCCTGTATCAATAATCGATTTTTTTAGTGGTTTATCTTTCATAGTTAGCTTGTTCACAAGGTGCTAACCTGTATCTCTTTATACCGCTTCCTACCGCAGCAGCAGTGGCACCTTCCTACGGCAAAGGTAAGTTTCTGCTTCTTCAGGATGACATGTCCCGCCTCTTGTGAAAAATTTGCTTTGGATGAAAGCATCTTAACCCCATCTCAACAGGACTCCACGGGATATCTGTTCTTGAACAGAAGTTTTCTGTACTCCAGTAATGCCGACGGATCTCAAAGATATATGACGTCAGCTGCATCTGCTACTCTTATCCGAGACCTGCGTTGAACCCGCTGGTGCCACAGACCGCAGCTGTGCGAGTTGAATAATGCGATATTTCCTGGATCCATGTCGTAAATTCGTGCATGTTGTGTAGTGTATGTGATGTGAGTACAAAGGAGGGGGAGACAGCCCGGGTCGCGGCGTTGGGCTGGCAAGCTTGGGCCAAGTAGACCAACGTCACCGTCACCTGCCTGCCTGCCTGCGATGAGCGCCTGGAGCTCCACCAACCCAAGTCCCGGATACACGACACCCACACTTGCTGCCACCTTTTCCACCTACGCGCGTACAGGAGCAACAGAGAAATAACCCTTCGCTTAGCATTGCCGCCATCGCACCGGCGCTATGTGGGACGACGAGGACAACAATCCCTATGGATCCTTTGCCCGCCATGATTCCAACGCTTCAGATATCCCCGGCCTAGCCTCGCCCACTGCCCGTAAGGCTTCTGCACGCTTGATGAAGCAACTGCCAGCATGACCAGCTGACACTAGCAAAGTTCCGTATCGTCCCGCGACTCCACCTTCAGAGCCATCGTCCCCCGCACTCGACTCGCCCGAGTATATCCCCCAGCGGGACATGAGCGATGTCGACTACAGTGAGGATCGCGGAGAGATTGCAAGCACGGGAGCGCCAAAGAAGGGTGGATATGATGCGCGAGTGGAGCAATGGCTGTATGAGCACCGCGACCAGCTTATCCTGATTACGGGCGCGGGCAAGGATGGAGTCAACTACATACAGTACACCATCAATTGCGGCGTAAGTGTAGATATATGTTCGCAGAGGTCAAGAGGCTAATCGGTACAGGGTCTCGAGGTCAAGCGCAGATATTCCGAGTTCGCATCACTGCGCGCTGAGTTGGTCAGACTTCATCCCACCCTTGTTGTACCGCCGATTCCCGAGAAGCATACCATGGCCGACTATGCCGCGAAACCAACAAAAGCAAAGGAAGATGCCGGTATTATCGAGCTGCGAAAGCGCATGCTCGCTGTCTTCCTGAACAGGTGCCGGAAGATGAAGGACATTCTTGAAGATGGCGTGTTCTGGAGGTTCCTCGACCCCTACACCAGCTGGGTATGTTACGGCCATGAGTATCCTGTTACTTGGTAAAACTGACATGCGCCAGGCCGACGTACTCAACAGCCCACCTATATCCAGCATTCCCAAACAGATCCTCAAAGCACCCCCGCTAGACCCCGCGAACCCTACGCAAGCGCATAGTTACCTCCCAGTCCCCTCATCTTCCGCGAAACTCAAGTCTGGCGGCGCGACGTCTAGCTCTGGCACACCAGTGTCGCCTGCGAATAACGCCGCCCTACCCTCAGCAGCCGCGCATACCATGCCAGGTCCCGCAATTTTTGGTCGTTTCCCTCCCGAGACACGAGATATGGCAGAAGAAGAACTGGACCCATACTTCGTCAGTTTTGAGAATTCGTCGAAAGATCTGGAGAACTTGCTACAGGGGCCCATGGAAAAGGTGAACAGGCGGTTACTCATGCATCTCGGGAACTGGGGGGAAGACATGGCCGATTTGGGTGCTCGCTTCAACGCCTTCTCGCTATCGGAACAGACACAAACACTTGCTGCGGCGATAGAAAAGATCGGGCAAGCAGTCGACTCGACGTATATCGCCACTACCGAACTCTCATCCTCCCTTAGCGCGAGCTTCTCTGAGCCGATGCGCGAAAGCGCGCAATTTGCCGGTGTTGTGCGCTCCATTCTTCGATACAGGGTGCTCAAGAGGATACAAGAGGACATGACAAAGGACGAATTGGAAAAGAAACGCAACCTGCTTGAATCGCTAGAGCGGAGTGAAGCAGAGTCAAAACGGCTGGAACAACATTTGAGTGGCGTTGGCATGCCCTCACGAAGTCGTGCAGCGTCACACAGCTCACAACGCAGCAGCAGCGATGCCGATCAATATAGAAGAGAAGACGATAGGGTGTCGATCGACTCTGATTTTCCCCCGACACATGGCGATCCACCGTCGAGCGCTCAAGGCGCTCCTGATAGCTACTCACCACCAGCCAACGCGCACAAGAAGACGGCGAGTGGAAATTTCGTGACCAACAAGCTATTCGGATCCATCACGCATGCGTTTAGAGGCATGGCGGATGTAGACCCCGAGAAGACACGGCGGGATCAGATTGGCAAGACGAGAGACAGTCTGGTGCAGGTAAAGGACATGATGAAGACTGAATTATGTAGGAGGTGCTGACCAGAAGTAGCTCGAACAAGCACTAGGCGTTGCAGAGAAGGACACCAAGGACGCGAGCGTAGGTGTAATGAAGGACTTGCGAAGATTCCAGAGCGAAAAGGAAGAGGATCTGCGACGGTACATGGTAAGCAGGCTGCCCCTCCCCTCCCTGGCTCGGATGCTTGATTATAATGTGTTAAATGCTGATTGATATGGTAGATGGAGTTTGCACAGTGCCACATTGACTGGGCAAAACGCAACAAGGCGGCGTGGGAAGAGGCCCGCGCCGAAGTGGAAAACATTGCCCCTCAGCCCGTGGAAGAATACCCCAGGAGATCAGACGAGTTTGAGGGCAGAGAGTAGCAGTAGTGGTAATTGGGTAATTGGCTATGTTCACAGGCGTAGTGTGTGTGCATCAACCACAATAGCCTATGTATTCTTTTTTTTCCGTTTTCTTTTTGAGCTCGGCATGGACTTGTCTTCTACTTTTTTTCTTCTTCGTCTTTTTTTTCTTACCTCTGGCATGTGTAAAATCATCATGTCATTTGGTGAAGAAGGAGAGAGAGAAAAAAAAGGAAATAAAGAAGACGTGGTCGAAACAGCTGTTGTTGTAGAAAGAGAGAGAGTATATATGTGTGTGTGTATGGAATTCAAGCTCTCGAAATCTACAAGACGAAGAGCAAGAAGAAGAACAACAACAACAACTTCTATAATGCTCGCTGATGCAAGACAACAAGACCAACCAACCAAAAAAAAACGCCTTGCCTTTCCAAGTGTGTTTGTATGTAAGCTTTGTTGTTTCCATCTTTGCAATCATATACTTCCTTGATTACCCAAAAAAACTCCCTTTATCCAACACGTTCAAATCCATTTCCCTTTTCGTATTTTCATGACCTTCATTGTAAGTACATTGTCTTTTCATGGATATATACATTTGCTATGCGGTAAGCGCACTGCTCAAACCCAGGATACCCATGCCGGCAAAGGCACTGACAAAGCACAGGCGGCGGCTATTTGTCAAATCCAAGCTTTCGCCGAGCAACTGCAGGCTGACCATGGCCATGATGCCAGCCGTAAGGGCAAACATGCATCCGTAAATGGTGTCCATTTCTGGGTCTTCGACGCCGCTGTCTCGTCCCTTGCCTTGGATTTTGAACCACAGTGCGGCGACGGCGGCACCCAAGGGCTGGCTTATGCCTCCGAGGACGGTTGAGATGAGCATGGCTTTCCAGCGAGAGTGGATGGCCAGGTATAGGGGGAGAGCGAGGGCAAAGCCCTCGGTGATGTTGTGGATGAAGAGGGCGAGGAAGATGGAGAAGCCGAGAGTCGGATTCGCGTGGTTGGTAGCATATGTGATGAAGCCCTCGGGGATCTTGTGCAGTGCGATTGCGGTACTGGTCTGCAGGCCGAGCGACAGAAAGACGTTGGTGGGGACGTGGTGGTGGTGTTGAGATTGGGATAGGTCATGGGCGTGGTGGTGGCTGTGGCCATGGGAATCATGCGATGCTACCGAGGATATCGAGGAACTGCGGCTGTGTTTGTGCGTCGGGGTGATGTGCCTGGCGTTTGCATTGGCGTGGCTGTTTGTAGGCGGTAGGCTAGCGACGGAGTTTTCTAGGGTGGCTGGGAGGGATTTCGAGGGGATCAAAGGCGTCGTCTCATCAACATTTTCCAATTCGGTACGTCGGTCATGTGGTGCCTGCGAGCTCTGATTCCTGATCGCACCGGATGATCGTGAGGCGCTTAGGCTGGCCAGAGATTTCCTCGACTGCAAGCGCGTAGGTCGTATCTCGCAGAAATCGCCGTAGCACTCTCCATTTTCATTCTGATGGCATGGCTTCTCGGCTCCAGAAACCAGCTTTGCTACCTTGGACGAGATGGATTGGTGCAACGACGGTCTCTGTGAGACGTTACCATTCGAAGTCTCGCTGCTGGGTCCGAATGCGAAATGTTCGTGGCGTGCTTCTGCTTGCGGCAATCCGGGTTGATGTTCCTGCATCGGTCCATGCACGTGGCCATGGTCTTCTCCATGCTTTGCCTGTTCTTCATCGCCGTGCTCGTCGTCGCAGTCCACGACTGAATGCGGAATGTACTTGTGCAGAATGCCAGAGAGGACAGAGATGCCAAAAGCACCAATCAGAAAACATGCAACCATTGCTAATATTGCCTGTCTTGGTGACATGCCACCCTTTGTTAGATACCTTTTTGCTGAGGGCAACATACTATACAAAGATGAAAAGATCTGGACACGGGATCAGTGGATGAACGACGTGAGCTAGGTTGTGGTGATACTTACCATGACGCCAAAAGAAAGACTCAGTCCGGCTGAGAGGAATGCATTGCTCTGCTCTATTTTGAAATTCTTCTTGCCAGGAAACTGGCGAATAATAAGGTCGACACATATTATCGAAGCTGAGGTGGTTGTTAGAGTTTGGATTCCCCGCTAAAGCTGCACAAGCGACCGCGGCAGGAGAGGGTTGAAGACGGATATGACCTCACCTCCAAAAGTACATGCTGTGTCGGCGTTAGCTTCGTTTTCGGCCAGCAGAAGAAGATGGGGCTGCAGCTCTTCGCACCCGTCAAACATACCGATGCCACTGACGGCGGTCATGATCCAGCCGCGGGTATCATTGTCGAGGACCATGATGTTCCTGCAGGTCTTGTCCGGGATGACGTCGTTTTACCGAATCCTCGGTCGAATCTGTATCTCAAGCGGGCTGGTGAGGAATAGCCGCGGGATTTCACAGGCGATTGGGGCGGACGCGGCGAAGCGATAAGAAGGTGAGGTTTGTAAACACATGAAAGGAGCCCTTGTGGTCAGATGAGGCGTGACTTTCGCACCGTGTTGGCCTCCTAGCGCGCATCTTGCAGGTATGAGATTTTGGGCTAGCGGCTTGGCAAAAGATCTGATACACGCGTGTCGTCATTGGTCCAGCCCTCAGTACTCCTCACCACCAGCCGCGAGACGTCCAGGCAATGCTTGTTTGTTTGTTTTCATTAGCCAGAGAAGGACCTGGAGCGGTGAGGTTAGTAGACATATTTGTACCATGTACTACTGGATGGTGGGCAAACGTTATTGGCAGTACTTGGCTGCACGTGGTAGCACCATATGACACGACTCGTGACGTGGGGAAGTCTGACTGGCAAAATAATAGTTTGTTGGGTATCGAGACTTAACTATCGACGATTCCCACGGGGTGCCGCGAGACATGTGGAAAATCTCTAGCTACAACATATCCGTCGGAACGAGCTCAACTGTCAATTACAAAACGATAACTTGCGCATTCCTCGACCAGCTTGCTTTGTGCAGCCGGAGGTCATCGCCTTCGTTCAAACAGCTACCATGGCGATAAAGAAAGCCACCAGGCCACAGACAAAAACGCCATCTCACCGTTACGCTATGCATGACAAAAGGAAAAAGAACGCTCAGTTTCAAGATGAAGGGAAGAATATAAAGTCGTAGTCCATGGCTGTAGTCCAAAAGCTCAGTGGGTCGGCGGCCTCGGAATGAAAATCTTACTCCATGACCCGGGGCCGTGTTCGGGCTTCTCGTTGATGACGAGCAGATTAGGCCCGGCACAATAACCACCGGCTTCTGCCGTTCGAGTTTGTTCGACATAATGCCCCGCAAGCTGTGCCTCGGTCGCATTTGGTGCAAAGGCGGCCACCGGATCATCGTAGACCCAGACCTTGTCCGTAACGACTTGGCCAGGCTCTTCGCCAAAGCGCGATTTGATCTCGGGGAATCCAACAAAGTAGTTAAGGATGTTGTGGATTGGGGCATAGAGACGTTCCGGTCGACGAACCAAAGAGAGCCAGCTCAATGTTTTTTCGTCGTAGGCCACGCGCACAAACGGATTCATGTATATCCTGGACTCTGCAGGTCTGCCTTTTCCAAACATGAGATACTGCAGATCGGCGTTGATCAGACAGCACTCGGACGCTTCCCAGTAGGTCTCATTGTATTGGCGGAACCGGAGAGGGGCCACTTCGGTGTTAGGCGACTGGCTCTGTGGATCCGCAGGATCTGATTGAACTCGGGTCCCGGCTTGAAACCACTTTGCTTCAAAAGCGATCATGCCGCCCCAGCAGCTTCGTACCCGCACAGCGTCCCTGCCCTCGAGCACATCGTTCCTGCTAATGGCTGTACCCGCACTAGTGAACCATGGGAAAAAAGGCAGGCCAGTCACCATGCCGTCGAAATCGCGTGTGGCAAAGCGGTCGTAGAACTTGAAGGGCATGATGTGGTCAACGGCACATGCTGCAGCGTAGTCTGCGCGCCCGGTGGCATCGATGTTGGTTGCAAAGAGGAGCTGGGCAGCTTCGACCGGGTCAAAGTTGACGTCGTTGAGATAGAGAACTTTGTCAAACCGCACACCGTGCTCATCGATTGGTGCCAAGGCGCGGTTGCGTACCTCTGCAAGGAACGCTATACGTTTAAGGCGTTCCTCACCGTTCGGCAGTGTAACATGGGGCAGAGAAGCGAGGTCGAGATCTTCGGCTACGATTGTCGAGTTGCCTAATGGGTCAGTCAGTGGGGCCCAGGATCGCGGAGAAGAGAGTGCGTACATTTGACCTTTTTGCGGAACGCGATCAACGACTGCTTTGTGACGGGGTCGGCGTTGTCCTCGTAGATGCTCAGGTGCACATTCTCGGGGCCCAACAGGTTGACGAGCTGAAGCACCTCGTTGCCCCATGCGCCCGAGGTCAGGTCGCCCTTCTTCTCAGCCAGCGCAGCAGCAATGAAGACCTTTTCGTTGTAGGGATTGGCCTTGCCGGTGGTGGTTGCGCGCTTTCGCAATTCGTCGTAGTGCGGCGGGCGGACCGTGTAGCTGGGGAAGAAAATGCCCGTGATCAGCACAAGGAATAGTAATATATACGGTATCGAGAATACGGTGTAGTAGATGAGTCGCAGGACGGATCGTTTTCGGCGGCGCGGGGTGACATAGTGGGCGTAGACGGCTCGCTCCGATAACTTGTTGACATTGCTAAAGGGCCTGGTCAGACGGGCAAGCCACGATGGCCGGGGCGGCGGCGTTGTCGCGGCCAAGGGCTCGAGATGGGCATCGAAGTCGTCGTCGGACTGTCGCGGCAGCAGCTCGTAGCGGTGTACGGGGGGGCGGGTTGGTTTGAGCATCGGAAGGATTGGCTTGGGGGGGTGGTGAAAGGGGCCCGGCAGGTGGTCGGCAGCAGCGCCATCAAGCGAAGAACGGGGCGGCGATGGATCGAGAGGGGCGCAACGCAGGTGGAGGCGGAGGCGGAGGCGGAGGCGAGGAGGGGCGAAGGAGTGACGATGGTGAGAAAGGGCGGCAGGGCAGCACAAAAGTCAGACAGCGACCAAGCCGGCCAGCGAGTCGAGGGCGTGTGGTTGCGAGGGCCCGAATGCGACGCGCAATTCGCATGTGCCTTAGGTCGGGGTCAGCCCTCACGCAGGGTCCGAGGGTGGAGAAGGCTCACTAGCACTAGTATAGTAACAATAATGCCGCCTGACCCTGCCCAACCTCGACTCCATTCTTACTGTACTTGCTTACAGTACTTACTGTACATCTGGCTACTTACCTGCACCCATCCATGGGCGGCAACACCACCACCATGGCGCAGCAGCCTCCTGCGGCATGGCGATGACGACGACAGCGACGACGACGGCGACGGCGACGATGATCAAGACGGCGACAGCCAGACAGCCTCGATGCCCTCACCAGCTGCAGGCATCCAGCCGCTGCTGCGCCCAGGCACCCCCATCACCAGGCACACCTGGTGGCTGACCATGATCCTCGGCCTCCTGAACGACACCAACAAGGCTCGGCCGTTTTCCAAAGGACCGACGGCTAGCGGCAATTTTATACGACGACGCGCCCTAATAGTGCAGCCACAGCGGCCTCTGCTATACGCCCACGTCTATCGATAAGCCACCGCCTCACCACCGCTCTCCCGCCTCTCCCTCCGACCAAACATACTCCAATCGCTTCCAGCGCTGGCCTGATGCGACCCATGGACGCGCATCCTGCAACCACATGAATCAACGCCAGCCTTGGTAACGGTCACCTGCACAGCCACCCCACCCTGCGCCTACATACATATGTACAGTGACAGTGTGTGGGATGGGTGGGATGTGCTAATACTCGCAACACAATCCTATCCTGTCAGCCATCCATAGCTGAATCTCACCCGCTGGCCCCTGCGCACACTCGTTCAAGCACACTTTACGTTTCTTGACGGCATAAGCATAAGCGCGCTCGTGCTCAAGGCCCGAGCCACAGGCGAATTTGCCATCAAAGAAGCTTTAGGGTAAGCGCCACTGCCGGCCCCCGACGGCTTCCGAGACGGTCTCCTTGATAAAAATGATCATCTCCTCCTCCATCTCTGGTGCGAAGCCAAGCTTGCTCCACCAACGGATCCGGCATGGCTGGGTAGCGGTAGCGGTAGCGCAACATTTCTTCTAGAACACGCCAAATTCGACTCGCTGCTTTCAGCTCCGACGATCCATTCTTCTGTCCGCCGTCGTCCGGTTGCTTATTCCACACAACCCCTACAATCTGCCCCTCTTATTTTTTGAAGGCGTTTCATCGTCCCGATTCCGCTTGCGATGCTTTGTCCGTTGACCATGTCGTTCTAGATGGAGATGCGCACCTAAGCTACCGTCCTTTCCGTTCCTCCTCTGAGCAACCCACAGCTGACATACCTGGGCTATAGTGGGTCAAAACCTACACCACAAGTGTAGGTGTCAGCATCCATTTTTTTCACCCAGTGATAATGGCAGAGCCACGAATCAAAACAAGTACAAAGTCGGGGTTGCTCGCTCCTGCTCGCCCATTGTTTCCACGGTTACTAAATGGCATACATAATGCATATCTGACTTGAGTATCTACACCACGTCCCCGTCCATTGGTTTCTGTCCACGGCCGGAGATGTCAACTTCACACATCCGTTCCGCGTGCCGCCACGTGGGGATGTTATGGAGATAGACGCGAGTTTTTCGCCAAATTGGGCGTGGCACAGGGAACACTGGTCCGTGGTACCTCCTGTGTGGTGCCGGATACATCACTCGAGCTTGGTGATGACGAAGATGTGGGAGATCGTGGGGCTGCTTTCCTGAGCGCTTCCAGCACCATGGGCGGGTATTCATCACAGATGTGGATGTAATCGACTTTTTCCGCTCGGCGCGCTTGCTTTGCAGCCGAGGAGGCCTTGGCTGAGCTACTCTTGTGCTGATTTGCTATAGCCGCTCCGGAACCGCCGGGTTCATGATATGGTTGCCAGTCCAGAGAACCCCTTTGCGGCTGGTATCGAGGTGGATACTGGACAGGCCCCGCCATGTTGATTGCGATTTGAGGAAGCGGTGGCTGGGGTATTGCTGATTGCATGGCAAAGGGAACTGCAGGATGAGCACCCTGTGGCTGCATATTCCGCGCCTGATCAGGCCACCCCAACGGAGGATGATATGACTGTCCATACGGCAGTTGCTGTGGTTGCAGAGGAGCAGAGAGCTGCATTGGTGATCTCGCCATCTCCACGTCCCTCTGCCTTGGCCATTCTACATTCTGCTTCCTCGTTTGCTCGTATCCACGACCCCAATTCCCGTGATATCTCGGGGTTTGCCAGCGTTCAACCCGTCTTTCTCTCTCGCTTCTTCTGGACTGAGACCGATGCTTCGAATGTGACCGTTCTTGCTTTTCAACATACACAACTGGCGGGGGCCTCGATACATGAGAGAACAATGCCTGGAACCAGTGCTCAATATCCAGACAGCATCGATGAACATAACTGTGGATACACCACAAAGCAAGGAGGATAAAAGCAGAGCCAAACAGGCCCGCAAACACGAGTGCGATAATGAAGTTGGTAGTCGTCATAGGAGACCGCTCGGCATGAGTCTCCGCACGTGAGCAAGCAAAAAGACTCGAAGTAATGCAGAAAAGGTAATGAAAACAGCACCGCAATTTAAGTAACCGCCCACAGTAAGTAGTTGAATTCTCTCAGCCACACAGCTCTGATAATCCTGCCTTTATCGAGCGAAAATATAGTGTGCAGCAAACATTTCCCTCTTCGCCGTGTAACCATGCCAGCTATCCTTCTCCCAGCCACTAATTCCAAGCCGAAACACCCGACCTGCCCAGCTCACTTGGTTGCAATATCCTCGCAGCCATTCAGCCATTCGATATCGTTATTCTGCATTCTCCTTCGCTCACCCTGCAAGCTACCCAGCACACCCGTTGACTGCCATCGGATAACCCCGTACCACGCATGTGCTCCCGCGACAAACACACTATAAATGCGTGGTTCCACGTCCCACGACATGGGGTATTTATCCTGTCCTAGCATATCCTATCCTGTTCCGTTCGGGTTCGTTGTGTCGCTGCTGTAAATGCCTTCGCTTCACATCTGCCCTGCGTGTTCGTATCCACATCCACATCCACATCCCCGGTATCCCTTCCCCCATACACACACACACACACACACACCCAAGTATCCACATCCCACACCCCACTTCCACCCCCCTCCCTCTCTCATGTCCTGTCATACTACGCCCCCTCTCTTAACCCTGCACTCCACCACCTCCATTCCCACTACCCGCCGCCTTACTACCATTACTGCTGCTCTTCGCCGTGCCCGTCGCCGCCTCGAGATCCCGCTGGTACGACAAGTCGTACAGTTCGGCGGTGATGACGCGTCGGCAGCTGTTCATGAGACACCAGCCGAGGAGGCAGCAGAAAAGCGTTATCAGGGTTATGCTTAGGATGATGGTTGTGGCGTAGTTCATTGTGGTGGATGGGTTGGCTTGAGGTGCGTCGAGTGGAGATTTGGGCTTGGGCTGAGGTCGAGGTAAGAAGTACAAAAGTATAAGAGTTTGGGAATAGCAAATATGCGTGTGCTGCTATTTCGTTGATGTCGACTGGAGGGTTTCAATGCGCTTGGCATGGAGCGAGTTGCTTTTGCTGCGAGGGAGGCGAGCAGAAGAGAGATAGCTGGGATGCGTTGTTTTACCTTTTCCTTCCGTTTGCATGGCTAGATTATCTCGTTCATTTCACCTTCACCATGCCGTTGCATTTTTACTCTGATTTGAAAACTCATCCCTCACCTTGTTTCTTTCACAGCCACCATGTACGACAGACACCACGACACGACACGCCACGCCACGCATTTACAAGAGATGGATTCAAGCCGAGGAGATGGCTACCTAACTATACATTTTACACTATTCCCACATCACATTTCTCACTAAAACTCGCGCAACGCATCAAGCACCTCCTTCTGCCTCTGACTCGCCATCTTCTCAAACCCATCCACACTCATGACAAACGTGCCCCTCCCCCCCGTCAAAGCCCGCAAGTGATTCAGATAACCCACCATCTCTTTCAGCGGCACCCGCGCTACAATCTGCCGCTGGCTATCTGCAACACTGGCGCCCACGTCGCCGGTGCCAGAGCTAAACGGATCCGGAGGCGTGTAGATGAGCGCAGGGTCGATGCGCGGAAGCTCGTCGTCAGCGCTGTTGGACGATGATTCTGTACCGTCCAGTGAGAGGACTTGCCCACCGCGCGACGACGAAATGTCCTGCACGACTGCGCCGAGCGACTTTTCGTTTACGAATATCGTCACGTTCATTACGGGCTCTAGGAGGGCTGCGGGCGCTGCATCACACGCGGCTCTTAGACTTGCTCCTACGGCGGCTCGCGCAGCCATGGAGATAGCGGTCGGTGTTGTTTCCGGGAAGAGCTGGGCCTTCGCGTCGAGAGCGATGGTCACGCGGGTGTTGGCCACCGGGAAGCCGTTGAAGGGTCCGCGGGCGAGCGCTGCTGAAGCGCCGGCTTGCATCGAGTGCAGGATGCCTGGGAGCGAGAGGTGTGGCGGGATCTGGTTCTTGTGGCTTGCAGAGTCGTGGGAAGAGAGGTGCGGGTGGGAAATATACAAGGTGTTGTTGTCCGGGAGCTTGTATGTCGTTTCAAAGGGGCTGTCTTGGATTTCCTGTGCGTCCTGCAGGGAACTGGTCATGACGGTGCCGTCGTCAATGGATTCCACCGAAGCGGTGGCCATGGCTTTGACTTGCTTTCCGGCAATCGGCTTGTCGAGAGTATATGTAAATGGCTCTGTGGAGATTGTGATGGTTTCCCTATATCCAATCTCAATCTTGCCGATTCTTGCTTTGGCCTTGAAGTCGTTTAGCAGTCTGTCTCGCGCGATCTCGAGATGCAAATCGCCCATGCCTGCTAGATGGGTTTGCCCAGACTCTTCGTCGACTGAGAGGTGCAGGCTTGGGTCTTCGCGCAACAATATAGCAAGGCTTTCTTGAACATGTTTTTGCTCGCTCAAACTATGCGGTTCGATACTGGTAAAGAAGACTGGCGGCGGGACGGCAATAGGTCGGAGTTGCAGCGTGTTCAAGCCGCCAGACGGGGTGCCTTTCATCTGTAATCCTCGGTATACAATCAGTGTGTCGCCCGTTCTGGCATGCTTGAGTCCAGTGATGACGCCGATCTGGCCAGCACCGATACTGTCTACTTCGACTGCATCATTGGCGTACATCTTCAAGAGACGGGGTGCACGTTCGGCAACAGCCAGATTGGTGTTGTACAGTGTTGCACCGCGATCGATGGAGCCAGAGTAGACGCGCACATAGACCAAAACGCCCCGTTTGGCATCGTTGACAACCTTGAATGCCAGGGCACACGCGGCCAGGTTCTTGACCTCAGCGATAGCAAGTTCACCAGTTCGTTTGTCCTGTTTCTTTGCCGGCTTGGTGGACTTGGTGGATGCTGCAGATGCCGAGTTGAGAAGGGCAGCAAGAGTGCTGCTCTGATTCGTAATGGCAATCTCGGGGTCGGGACGTTCGAGGGGTGACGGGAGGAGATCGACGACACTGTCAAGCAGTGGCTGAACGCCAATATTGCGAAACGAGGCACCAGCAAACACTGGAATGACTCCTTGTGGGGCTTGCAATACGACGCGCCGGAGAGACTGCATGATTTGGATGCCCGAGATAGCCAGATGGTCTTCGTCTTGTTCGAGAAAATGCTCCACCATTACATCATCATGCTCACTCAATGTCTCGACGAGGGCTACTCTTGCTTTCTTGATTTCGGCCACAAAGCTCTTGTCGATCGTTTCCAGCTCTTCGAGACTCACAGCTTTGACGTCTCGTCCGTCTCCACCTGCTTGCCAGAGCATGCCGCGGAGGTTGATGACATCTCCAACCCCCACAAAGTCGCCATTGCCGCCCTGCCACCAAGGGATTTGGCACACAGCAGGCCATCCGCGCAGTCTGGTACCAATTTCTTTGACAGTTCTTGAAAAGGCGGCGCCGACACGGTCTAGCTTGTTGACGAAGATGATCCTGGGGATATGGTAATGCCCAGCCTGCGTCCATACCTTCTCCGTCTGGGCTTCAACTCCTGCTACGCCGTCAAGGATACACACGGCACCATCCAAGACACGCAGCGATCGAAGTACTTCAAAAGTGAAGTCCGCATGGCCTGGTGTGTCGATGAGGTTGATATTGTGAGATGTTGAAGACCTGAGGATGTTGTCGAATGATGCTGGCAATTGCGGTAGGGAAGGTGTTGGCTGATTACTGGGCGGTAGGGGAGGCCAGTGGAAAGTGATGGCCGCAGATTGAATGGTGATTCCTCTTGCTCTCTCGGCCGGAAGAAAGTCGGTTACTGTTGATCCTTCATCGACATCTAGAGGTGGTTAGTGGCTATACAAAGCCAACAAGGAAATACGCATAAGCAAATCATAACCAATTGAATTGACTCGATAACCAGGCGTGGGGTTGGGAAACATAGTACTTGCAGCTCACATACTTCCAATTCTACGGGTAACGCCGCTGTAGTAGAGCATGCGCTCAGTTGTAGTAGTTTTTCCCTATTTCAGTCAGCATCAATTTCACCAAGGCAGAAGATGCAACTTACTGCATCGATATGGGCAATGATGCCAATGTTGCGGGTTGCTTTGGAGAGTAGATCATGCTGAGGCGCCTGGGTCGACAGCAGGCGGCGAGGAGTCTTCACATTGGGCCGTACGACTCGACGGGCACACCACATCCAGGCGGCGATCATGCCAAAGATTGCGCAGTGCGGTGGTAATGCAAGAGGTGGTGTGTCTGAAAATTGCACGTGACGAGCAGAATGTAATGGTTTGCGCCTTGCCTAGCTCGGCTAAGATCAAGGCAGGGCATGGGAGCGACATCATCGCATCACTCCGCAGCTAGTCGCAACCGTCCGAAGCTTCAATTCACTGCCCACCGCCATGGATTACAGTGCTCACGATCCCGACCATCCTGTCGACAGCGATCCATGGGCTTCGTCACCTCATGCTCACCGGACTTCATTCGGCCCGCCTCCGACCAGCGACATTCCGTCGCCCCCGCTACCTGCGCAGGCTTCGCCATATGGCGAGAACAGCGAGCAGTACGGCTACCTAGGTGACCAGGATGCGCAAAGCCGGCCGGGCACAGCGCCTGAGAATGGCGACCATGCAGAGCAACAACAGACGCACGGCCAGGACGCGCCTCGATCACCTCAACCACCGCCCCAGGGCCAACCCGGACAACAGCCACAAAGGTACCATGGCACCAGGCCACAGCGACAGCAGCAGCAGCAGCAGCAGTATAAGCTTCAGGCCAAGGTTACAGGACTTGAGCGGAACGGCAAGAAGGACCCGATCCTTCGATTCGATGTCTACGTACGTCTCCGCAAACCCAACGTGGCCGATGTACGCTTTCGCGAGGTGCGGGACATTGAAGACTGGATCAAGGTAGACTTGGTCCCTCCAGCGCGCTGCTGTCTGGTCACAAGGCTGCCTTGCTATCTGCTCATGCCCATTTGCGAATAGCTGCACGTAGGCGTGGGGTCATGCTAACTTTAATGTGCAGACCAATCTCCCCAAGTTTCGAACGACGCAATTTCGCGATGTGCGACGCCTACACTCTGAATTCGTAAAGCTCGGCGAGCACCTCATTTCGGCATGTCCTGAAGCTATTGTGCCTGCAGTGCCGCCAGCAACGACGTCGGCAGGCGCTGGGACGGATGAAGACGAGGCGCGGCTGAAGATGTCGATGCAGCGGTGGCTCAACATTGTGTGCAGCAACGAGATACTCATACGCGACGAGGAGATGGTCTTCTTCGTGGAGAGCGACTTTGGCTACAGCCCCGTGGTGCGGAGGAAGCAGCCGGCGACTGGCGTGCGCCGCAAGATGATTAAGCAGTTTGCGCCGCCACCAGACGACACGCCAGAACTCGCTGCAGCACGACCGGTGGTCAAGGCTTTCTACCTCGGCACAATGGAGGCCGAGCAGAAGCTGGAAAAGGTGGTGAAGCACCGACGAAGTGGGTGGTTTTGAAACACGTCACATGGGGCACATGGCTAATTTGGATAGGTCTTGGGGTTGCCGAGTCTGATCTTGGTGCCAAGTTTGCAGCACTCCAAGTGCAAGAGACACACGTCGGCCTGGCTCACGCATACAAGAAACTGGGGAAAATCATCCAGGCTACGGGCGACTTTCATGCTGCTCAGGGAACAGTAGAGGCGACGACTCTTGGCGACCCACTGCAGTACCACAGCAGCGACGCCTTTATTGCAAAAGAAACTTTGACGAATCGCCATATTCTGTTGCGTGAGTTGCTGCAAGCACAATCAGCAACGCGGTCCAAGCTGTCTGCGGCTGACCGGCTGAAGGCCAGCTCGAGCGTGAAGCGAGACAAGGTGGATGAAGCAATTGCTGCTTTGGATGAGGCGAGGAGTCATGAGCAGTACCTGACGCAAAAGGCGCAGCGGGTTACGGCGAATCTTCTGCAAGAACAGCGACGATGGTTTGACCGGACGACACAGGACATGCGGCAGGCAATCCGGGAATATGTGGTTCGCCAGATTGAGGCGGAGCGACGCACGCTGGCTACGCTCGAGTCTGTCCGGCCAGACATTCGCGCAATTGATGGCAGCGGTGGACTCTCGCGCCTGGGTCGTGAGGCGCATCCAGCACAGCGACGCGCGTCCATGGCCAGCTCGCAAGGACCAAAGGGCGATGCATGGTCGGGGGTGCCACGGCGACCGGGCGATGGGCTCAATCGCAGTGTCAGCGGAAGCTTTGCGGCTCCACTTCCCGAGGTGGACGAGGACGACGAGGATTCGATCAACGGGCGGAAGCGTGCAACAAGCAAAGCGGGCAGCCAGCAAGGGATTGAAGAGGACGACGATCGCATTGATGCGAAAAACGCAGCCAGCAGGCTAGCGACGACGACGTTCTAGAAGCGGGTTTGGTTTGTGGTGGGGGGGTGGTTGAAACGTGTAATGACAGGGCTGGGCAGGCTAGGAGGGTGCTTTTTGTAGAGGCTAGTGGACGATGCCACGCGACATGGAAAATGCAGCCTATAGGAAAGTTTGTGGGCCGTGTATATTGTAGCGTGTAGTATTTACTTTTGGTGCTCCTGCAGCTTGATGCATGGCATGGCGTGGCCTGAGATTGCGCAAGACGACGAAGGCGAACGGGCTAAGTAAGGAAGTGTAAGTGCAGGTGGCGTATGGCAGCGGTGCGTCAGTTGATCAAAAAGCAGCTGGTGGCAGCCCCGCGCGCAATCTACATGTGTGCAGTGTGGCGACGACACTGATATTGCAAGTACAAAAGGGGGGCTAGCAGCTGTTCTGAGCGCGCGCCTGACCGGCCGACGGCACCTGGAAAGGCCAGGGAGCTGGTCGCGAACCATGCGGCACCAGCCGGATTCTACCAGAGTTCCACGGCGCAGGCCGTTCCGCGTGGCTGACTTTGCCCGAAACGGGGGGAGGGGGGGTTCTTCTCTCGAGGGGATGCTGCACACGGGTCCAGGTAAGCCGGATAGCATCATCATGTACGTATGTCTGGACGCATGTAGGTACCATGCAGTGCCCACGAGTCGTGCGAGGGGCGGGTGGCAGAATGGGGACATGCCGAGAGTCGATCCCCCGCACTGCTGGCCCGATAGCAATACATGCTAGATAGACATACATGCATACATGGATGGATGGATACATGGTGATATCTCGTCGGGCTGCGCAGGATGCGGGCCAGGGGGAGGGTTGCGCCTCGTGTCTCGTGTCGATGGCCTCGTCGCACAAAGTTAGTTTGGCTGTCTGGATGCGTGCTGCCAGGCCCAGGCGCACGACGCACAGCCGCGCCGGAAGGCATGGAAGCAGACCAAGACAGACAAGACCAGGCAAGCAGCCACGATGCATTTGACGCTGGAGCTGGAGCTGGAGCGGCCCTGCGCGCCGGGTAAAGTATATATGTGTGCGTGTGCGTGTGCATGCATCAGCTGGCTGTCCCGGAGCCGTGTCCGAATCAGAGCAACGCCTGGCATAAAACAACGGCATGAGTTTCTTCGATTGGCGACAGGCCGTATACCAACCCACGGCTTAGTGCAGCCCTCGACCACCATGTCCGACGCCCACCGTTTAGCTGCTCGAGTCAGCACGAAGCATCATCGTCGCAGCCACTCACGCCCTCTGGAAGCACTGCATGTGCGCCGCGCACCTCTTCATAATACTGTAGCTGAGCCCGCGTCCCTTGCACGCCCTACGTAGTCGCCATCTCGTCCGCCGCCGCTCGCCTCTCCGGGCTCATCTTGCAACCAAAGCCCCTCGTCGCCGCCCGCATCCATCCCCCCCATCTGCCTTGTGCAGCCAGATCGCCGCATCGCCATCTTGACACTGACACTCACCCTCTGCTTCCCCACGGGGCACGTCCTCCCCCCACGTGACGCCGACTCGCGCACCGCTGCACCCCCACGAAGCCATGCCCAGAGTCTTCAAGTTCCTGAAAACCGCCCTCTCGCCCGGCACGGCCAATTCCGCCCCGCACCACGCCCGCGAGAGGAGCAATGCCTCGCCCAAGACTTCCTCCACCTCGTCGGCTGACGACACATGGCTCCCCGACTTTGACCCCCTCACCGTCACCGCCTTTGAGCTGTCGGAGCTTCTCAACGCACAGGCGATTACAAGCGTGCAGATAGTCCAGCTGTACCTCAAGGAGATTGGCCTGCACAACCGAAGAGGCCGCCAGCTGCGAGCCCTGATTTCCGTCGCGCCAAAACACGAACTGCTGAAGATGGCACGCCGGCTGGATGAAGAGCGTGCGCGGGGCAAGATACGCGGCCCGCTGCATGGCATCCCCATTGTGCTCAAGGACAGCATCATGACGGACCAGAAACTGGGAATGGACACCACGGTCGGTACGTGCATGTGTAGTCGAGCCTGGCCCGAGAGACGGAACTAACAGCCCTGTTAGGCTCCTATGCTTTCGTCGGATGCATCCCCAAGAAGAGCGCCACCATCGTCGACCGTCTGACCAAGCGAGGCATGATTGTCATTGGCAAGTCAAACCTCACCGAGTTCTGCGGCCTCAAGAACCCCTCGATGCCTCCGGGGTGGTCGGCCGTCGGCGGACAGTGCCAGTCGCCATATGTCTCGAGGCACATTGAAAAGCGAAAACTACACTGGGAACTTTCGGCTCCCGGTGGCTCTTCAACGGGGTCAGCCGTAGCCGTGGCGTCTGGGTTCAGCACTCTGGCTATTGGCACAGACACGATTGGATCCCTCATTACACCGGCGAACCGCGCAGCCCTGTATGCGCTGAAGCCCACTGTGGGACAGGTCCCCATGGACGGAATCTTCAGTCTTAGCAAATCATTCGACGCGGTTGGCGGCATGGTACGTTGGAGTCTGGTGGCTGGCTAGTACAAGTGCTAAGTGTTTGAATAGGCCAAGTCCGCAAAGGATCTCGTGGCGCTCATGGACGCCTTAATGGTGCCAACCAATAGGGAAGAAAACGCTCAGAGTCCGCATCGATCGTTCAAGATTAAGCCCGACTTCGGGACGCTGCGTATCGGCATATGCGAGCCGACCATTTGGAAGTCGTGGCGGAAGAGTGGGCGTATTAATGCTGACGCCGAGCGCTTCATGGTAAGTTGCATCTTGCTGGGCCAGTGAGTGAAGCCGCACATGCTGACGTGATATAGACACAAAAGTATGACACGATTGTCAACAGCATGATTGAAATGGGTGTCGACGTGGTGTACCCTATAGAGCTGCCCAACCAGGCGAGTTTGACCGTCGATGGCAAGAACTGCTTTGAGCCTGTTGTTTGTAAGTCTATCATTCTCATCATCATGACTTTACTAATACACTACAGACTCGGAGTTCAAAGACTGCTTGTTAGAGTTTATCCGCGATTTCAAGGTTACTAAGATACATTCGCTGGCGGAAATCATTAATTTTAACCTCGAACATCCCGAACTGTGCCTACCACCGAGTATGTCCCTGCACACAGCCTCCCCGTCATGCATACTAAACCCACCCAGCATGTCCAGAACAAAACGACCTAATGGCCGCCCTGCAATCCACCACCGAGCGCGAAGACGTCAACGCCGCCCGCCAACACCTCCAAACCGCAGGCGGCCCCGAAGGCCTCGACTACCTCTTCACCAGCCTCTCCCTCGACATCATCGTTGCCCCCGGCGATGCCGCCCTCCCCACTCTCGCAGCCGCCGCTGGCTACCCCACCGCCGCATGTCCCTTGTCCGCGCTCAAACTCAACGGCCAGCCCTTTGGCCTGACCATTGCGTCACGCCCACACACCGAACACACGCTCCTTCACTTCCTAACCGCATACGAAAACATCTTTCCCCCACGCGCCCTCCCCATGCCGCTCGCCTCCGTCCCGCTACAAGACCCGAACCCAGAGCCCCTACCCGACCAGCCCATCATCGACTTGATCCTGCACGAGTGGGACACGCGCAGATTCAGCTGCAGCGCCGATGCTCTGGCTGATTGGCTCAATGCCCGCTGGCGCAAGAGCGGCTACGAACTCAGCCCCGAGACGGTCTGTGAGGTGCTTAGAAGTAACGGGCGGATTGCATTTAGAGGCCTAGGTGATGATGCTGAAGGTGCTTTTTCGCGGTGACCTTCTTTCGTCTCGTCTCGTTACTGTCCCTTTTTTTTACACGCTCTGATAGCGATTTTCATTTTCCCCCTGCCTACCCTTATTTTCCAGGGGTTTTTTTTTTCGGGGGCAGAAAGGACATTTTTATCTAGACTTTAGCGTTGGCGTTTTCTGGCACGTTGGCTTTGCCTCGCCATGTATGTATTCATAGTTTTTTTTGTGGAACAAGGCCGGTTTTTTTTTCCAATGGGCCTACGTGGGTGCATGGAGAGATGCAGTACACGGACTCACGGTAGATGATAGCGAGAGTGAGAGTGAGAGTGAGAGTGAGAGTGGTAGTAACTCTGCACGTATGTATTCGTAGCTGTGTGAACAAGAACAAGAGTATTCAAACACTAGACGTTGCGTTTATTTAAGAGATGCCGTTTATTTTTACTATAGTATTTTCAATGCATCTATCCATCCATCGAGGTTAATTCTTCGCCCCACCAACCACTAGTCACATAAGAAAAAACGCCGACTTGGTCCTTCCATGACTCACACGCATGTACGTCAGCACACCCCACCCCACCCCTCCCCGCATCCACACGCACCCAACAATCTACATTCTCCCCATCCGCCCTTTTTGAAGAGAAATCCATATTTGCTATATATATTTATCTTAAAGCACGATTTTTTCATCCAATCAGTTCAAAAAAAGCTGCTTGGCGCAGCGGAAGCGCGCCGGGCTCATAACCCGGAGGACCTCGGATCGAAACCGAGAGCAGCTATTGCTGATTCCAACTTTTTTTATCTTTTTTTCTTTTTTTTGTTAATGATTTCTTCTCCCCCCTCCAATTTTTTTTATCTGGGGATATATCCTTGTGGGTGCGTCAGTTACAACAAGAAGAAAGAAGAAGAAATCAAATACAACAGAAAAAAGTCTTGGAAGGTAAAAAAAAAAAAAAAAATACAGAACAGAACGGAATTCTTCATCTCTTATCTGCCTTTGGCTGTTGCTGTGGCACAGAGAGACTAAGGGGAAGGAAGGGAAGTATGAGGTCACCGTGTGGAAATACGCAGGACAGAGGACGGGCAAGGGGGGGGGGAAGGCTCGTGATTGATTATGCACATGTATGTAGCAGGAGTGAGTAGAGTAGAGTGGAGTAGATTAGATTAGATTAGATTAAATAGAACAGGTGATTTAATGTGCATACTAATAATAGAGTGTTGGTGTTGGTGTTGGTGTTGGTGCTCGTCGGACTTGGTGTAATGAGTAGGTCAATGTATGCGGGCTTCAAGGCGCTGGGTTGGATTGGATTTGGAGGTACTTACTTGGGGAGATGAGACTGGTAGATAGGTAGGTAGGTAGGTAAGTAGGTAGTGTAGTGTAGTGTAGTGTAGTGTAGTGTAGTGTGATATAGTGTAGTGCAATACGTAGAACAAGTTAGTCAAGTTAATTTCAAAAATAAAAATTAATAAATAAAAAAATAAAATAAAAACAAGATATTTATACAAAGAAACAAAATATATAACAAAATGACCCGTCCATATCGAACCGAGACTAAGTAGTTGTGTAGTTAGGCTGTTGGATGACAAGATAGGATTACCACACTGGCTTTTTTTTACATAGATTGATTGATTGATTGATTGATTGATTGATTGATTGATTGATTGATTGATTGATTGATTGATTGATTGATTGATTGATTGATTGATTGATTGATTGATTGATTGATTGATTGATTGATTGATTGATTGATTGATTGATTGATTGATTGATGTTGTGGAACTATGTAGCTTAGGTAGGGTGGGGATATATACATAGATGATGATGATGATGATGAGGATGATGAGGATGATAATGATGATGATGATGATAATGATGATGATGATGAAGAAGAAGAAGAAGAGGAAGAGGAGACTAGATCATGGACTTGTATACTGAAGAAGTTTGGAATTAAGGGGATAGATATGCAGGGAGATAGAGCTCCGCTACTAAGATGTATTCACTAGAGTGATGTAATTTGATGTGTTACTATACTTGACAGGGTACTTGACAGTGCACTTGCAGTCATGTACATATTACTTGCTTTCAAGATGAGTTTTTTAAATTCCTTTCTCTTGCTCTCCAAGCTATTCCTACTCCAAATCATGATAACATATCCCTCATGCTCGGCGCTACTAGACGCCCATGTATAACAACTCTCCACCAATCAACCTTGAATAATGCATATTCACCTTACAGGACATATTCGTCCTAACGTACGCCCATTGAAACAGTATTCCATTTACAACTTGGCCTTCTTGCCACCCGCAACACCCGTCACGGCCTCGCCGGAAAGCAGGAAATCCGGGTACTCGAAGCTGTTACCAAGGCCAGCGGTACGCCAGGCGCCACCGTCAACGACAAGCGTCTCTCCATTGACAAAGTTGCCAGCATCCGAAAACAAAAAGATGGTTGCGTCTGCAATTTCCTTGACGGTGCCCCAGCGGCCAATGGGGATCTTCTTGCCGGTCCTGCTGTTGTTGTCTGGCTTGGACAGTCGGGCCATGCCCTCGGTGTCGGCAATAGGGCCGGGAGCAATGACGTTTGAAGTCACGCCCTTGGGGCCTTGCTCAATAGCAACTGAAACGGCCATGGCATCCACCCCGGCCTTTGCGACCGACACGTGCGCCTGGAGCGGTGTGCCAGTGTAGTGCAGCGTCGCACTGACGAAGATGATGCGGCCACCGGTTCCGTTGGGCGGCTGTGTGGCTCCGTCGGTTCTGTGCTTGGCAGCGGACTCGACCAAATACGGCAGTGTGGCCTTGACCGTGTTGTAGCTGCCCAGCACGTCAATGTCCATGACGCTCTTCATGGCGTTGGTCGAGAGCTGGTCGATGGGCGCGAGAAAGTTGCCTGCCGCGCCGGCAATGACAAAGTCGATGCTGCCGAGTTCTTTTGCGCAGCGCTGGGCGGCTTGCTCGAGGAGTTCGGGCTTGCGCACGTCGATGGCACCGATGCCCATGACTTTGGCCCCGGGGCGTGCCGTCGCAATGTCCTTGGCCATGTTTTCCGTCTTTTCCACGTTGCGCCCGACTATGCATGCGTTTGCGCCGAGGGCCACCATGGCGCGGACTTGGGCGCTGCAGATGGAGCCAGCTCCGCCGGTGCAGAACAGGACCTTGTTGTCTGTGGTGAAATCAGCATGATGCGCCTTGCGTTGGGATGAGCAACGACAGGACCGCGAGTCTGTCGCGCAGGCTGTAGACGTACCAAAGATGCCATCCTTCCAGACATTGCTCATAAACTGATATCTCTCCATGGGCATGGTTCGGGGTGTTTTCCAAGCAGGAGGCTTGGACTCGCTGTCGTCGGGGGGAATGTATTTGGGGCTAAGGGCAAAGACCTTCTTAGCGTCCAGAGAGACAAGACAAGACAAGAGCAGCGCTGAGAAAGGGGTCCAAGAGCTGAATGCACAGAGAGAGAGAGAGAGAAATAGCTGAGACGATGTGAGTGCTCACGTCGAGTAAAAGATACGGCCGCAACAGTGGGCTGACGGTAGCAAGTAGGTTTTACCACTACTGCTACACGGCCAGTGCCGAGGTCCAAGACGACGAGGTCCAGCGCGAGAGAAGCAAGTCAGGCGGGACATTGGCGCGCCAGGGAAAACAAGGCGGAGTTGGACAGAAAGGAATGCAGAGGGGGGCAGCGCGCGGAGCGAACGGATTGGGTATTATGTAGAGTAGCCCTTGTTCTTCCAAGTATTGATAGGTAGATGCACATGCACATGTGCCTGGTCTCCGCACATAGTGGAGGTAGAGAGCAAGGGGAGCTTGGGCCATGGGCCGCGGGCTCCCGCAATCAATTCCGCGCCAGCTCCGCAATTTGCATCGTCCAGCTCAGCGGCGGCTGAATCATCATCCTCATCAGCGTCATCGCCACCCCACTGCCAGCATCCACGGCGGACAATTCCCCTGAGCCACAACCACTGCAACCACCACAATGGCGGCGCAAACCGTGTCGATATGTAAATTCGTCGGCACAATCACCCTGGGCATCGCTACGGTACGTTGTCGAACCCGCCCGCGGCGTCTTGACGGATGCATGGGGCATGGCTTGCGTGATAAGCTATCCAGCATCCATTCGGACTTGGGGATACACCGGGAAGACGGGGAAGAAAGACGAGCATCATTCCAGATTCTAACCCAAAACCGGTACAGCAGACGGCATGCCTTTGTTTTGCCCATGGCCGACTCCTACTGGGCGAACTGCTTACGAACAGACACCCTCAGGCCGCCCCCCCCCCTAGCTCCTCAACACAAAATCGAGTCCCCACCCCGAGTCAGAGCGAGAGCGAGAGAGGCTGGCATCCCTTGAGAGCGTGTGCGCGACATTCTAGACCAGGACAATTTGCACCCGTGTCATGCACTGCCAGCTTATCTTTAGCATGTGCTGACGGTGGCTTTTTACCTCAGGCGCGGGTCAGCACCATGTTTCGTGTGAAACTTCCCCGATCTCAGCTGCTGGTGATAAGAGTCAAGATGCCCACAATGGGAGTGCTCAAACTATGTCTCCTGAATGCGGCGGTTCGCTCGAGCAGAGAAAGGTCTTTGCAGACGGGGATCTGCAGGGCACCCGACATGAGCTGCATGCCCAGCGCACGGCAGCAGGCGCGGATAGGAGGTGAGCAAACGTAGATTGAACCCGCCAACGTCCATGCAGTAGATACATGTGGAAAATCATGTCAAACAAAGGAGTTGATGGGAGAGTCCACAACACAAACAATACACCAGTCGCCGTTGTTATCAATACCCCCGTCTGTCAAAATACACGCGTATGCTCAATCGTCGTCGCCGTCGTCAGATAACCCTGTCCATGGTCTGACCACCCAATACATCTATCCCGTTCCAGGACCGTCGCATTCCGCCCTAAGCACCATCCCCCCACAGTCCGACAACCTGCATGGCAAACGCCACACCCGCCAATGCCGTCTTGATGCGTTCGGTCCTCTGCCTTCTCTCCACCACCTCCCTGACCAATTCGCCATTGACCGCGTCGCCCTGGGCCTCGAGCTCCATGACCTGCCTCTGCTCGCTGGCACCCTCCATGGCTGTGACGGCGTAGTCGACGCCGGGGCCCGACACAAAGGCGAAGATGGACGTGTACAGCAGGTACGGGTGGCGGAAGCGGCGTGGCGAGAGCACGTAGGCCGAAAACAAGGTAAACGTCGTGATATGGCGCAGGTACGACGACAGCCACGACGACTGCTTGGACAGGTACACGAGCGATGTGCGGGCGTTGGTGGCCGTGGGGAGGGCGAGCAGCGCGGGGAAGGCTGTCGTGCAGAGGGCCGCTGAGACACCCTGTGCTGGGGCCGACAACGGGTATAACAGGCAGGCCATTAAGCGTTGTCGTGGTAGGTGTAGTAACCAGGGCCGGAAGCGGATGTGCCAGTTGCGCGTGCCAGGGTCAGGGGGTGTTTCCCGTAGAGTGGCTATACGCATGTCGAGCTAAGTAGATGCTACGAGTGGAAATTGATGGAAGCGGGAGTGCCATCGGATTTTAGTGCAGCCAGAGGCGGGTTCACAGGCTGACATGTTCGGCTGTCGCGTCGGCGTGATGTTGTCGCGTCGTGAGATTGCCAGGGCTGCGCCGTCGTCGGTGAGGCATGCAGGTACGAGTGCGAGTGCGAGTGAGCAGAGGGTGGCGGATGCCGAGCTGTCGTGTGCCGCTGCATGTGCATGTAGTGTAGGTGTAGTAGCTTGGCCATGGTATGCAGCGCCACGCATGGCTACCCACCGCGAGGCCAACGGAATCCACGAAGCCGCAGTGTAGCGGTCGCACCAGCGAGTCGATGACGGCAGTGGCTGCTGCAGACGGAGCTTTTGCTTTCAGCATAATGTATAGCAGGGAGGAAAATCCTCATCTCGCCGCGGCCACGGTCGTCGCGATCCATAATTAATCCAGCGCTTGGCCGGGACCCCTGTCGATCGCGTTATCGATACTGGACGCGTGGTAGCACTAGCGCCCTTGGAGACGTCGCTTAGCCGTGCGCAGGCGGCGAATCGGGGCGGCGGCGTGGTCGGCGTTTGCGTCATACGCCCTCGTCGTCATGTGCAGGTGTGGGTGCGTGAGGCGGGCAGCAGCAGCAGACTTGGGCGTCTTGTCGGGCGTCGCGCCTGCGGCTCTGGTTGGGATGCGGGCAGCGGGCATGGCGACAAGGCCGCGTCGACGTGCCGCGGCTGGCGTGCGGTGGCTTGGCCCGTTGACCCTTTCCAGGCCAAGGCTGCCGTGAGCCCCCAACTCGGCTAGAGCATGTCGACGGTCGGGCGTGTTGCTGGGGGGCCCAAGGCCGCTCAGATATGTATAGCACACGTATAGAGCAGAGAGATGAGCCCAGCAGCAGCAGCAGCGCGCGAGCACCGAGGGGGCATGTCTGGGATATGGCCTCTTGGACAGGCGCGTCGCCGGGCGTGGTGGGCGTGGTGGGCGTGGTGGTAGTGCTAGAGGGGGGTGGTGCATTGCTGTATGTACGTGTGCGTAGTAGTCTCTGTAGCGCGCGTGGGAATCATAGGGCGACAAGGCCTAACGCCGCGGCGCCCGACCGACAATGACAACGGCCCGGCGCCATTTGCCAGTTCCGGGAGCCAGCAATCGTGGTGGTGGTGGTGGTGGTGGTGCAGTCAAAGGCATGGGCAGCATTTTGGGCCGCCGGTGTGGGTGCGCGGCGGGTGCGACGCGACGCAGGGCAGAGACAGCGTCTTGGGGGGCAGCTGGGTGAAGACTGCAAAGACTGCACGGCGACGGCGACGGCGACGCTGTGATGAGGTTGCAGCGTTGGGGTGCTGGGCGTAGTAATGGTGCTGTTGGCATCTAGTAGCTGCAATCATGGTGGTTGGCTGGCACGCCGTGGGCTCGCCCGTCCAACGCCGCCACAGCGTGCTAATTCTGCGCCGTGCCCAGGTGATCAGCACGCAGAGCAGCAGAGACAAAACACGCTGCCGCTCCCTCGCCGTGCACCACCCAACCATTTCTCCATCTTGCCAGTCTCTTCACACACTCGTTGTTGTGCTCGCGCCCCTCGCCCTCGTTTGGTTGCGCCCTCGCCCACGCGCCCCTCGTTGAAACTACCACTACCACCACTACCACTACTAGATAATAGCCTGGTGGCCCGCCCGGACGGACTGTCGCTTGTCGTTGTTTGATCTTTATTCTTCTCATCTCCGGAAGACCGGCCGTGGCCGTGTTACCCAGCACCGCAGCAGCAGCCGCAGCAGCTTCGCGACAAAAAGCAAGTCGGCCTTCGCACCGCCCGAGACGCCTCTTGGCCGCAGCTTGCGTGCGAGTGTGTGCCTGTGGTGTGGATACCTGCATCATCGTGAACGCCTCCTTCTCCCCTCGCCTCGTTTCCCTCGTTCCCTCGCCTCGCCTCGCCTCGCCTCCAGGGCCATCTCGAGGCTCGACGGTTGCCGGCACCAACAGGCCATCGCGCGCCGACGGTCGAGTCGATATATTACTGCACTGCCAGCCTGCTGGGCAAAACAGGGAAGACGGCAGCCCGAGTCAGGCGCATTGCCCAGTGCGGAAGAGGCGGAGGAACTAAGGGCCAAAGCGGGAGGGATCAGTTCCTGGATAGTGCTCGAGTAGCCAGCACGGACCGCCGGCTTGATTTGGCGCCTGTAAGTCGCCCGCTCCACCAGCTTGCAATCCCATCCAGTCCCGTCCCGTCCTGTCCAGTCCTCAATCCACCCTCTCTGCCTCTCGCCTCTCTTCCCTTGTCTGCTGCACCCACCGAGCCTCGTGTGTGCCTGTGGCCACACCCCTTCGCCTCGCCTGCTGCCCGCTGCTCTTCGTCTTGACCATGCTGATGCCCTGAGTCTACAGAGCCTCTTGCCAGTCTGCCTCCCGCTGCCTGCGCTGCTCCACGCGCGCTGAGCCCATCCACGGCTATACCACATACTACAACGCCCAGCCAGCGACCAGCCTGTACCACATCACACCACGTCGGCTCCTCCAACCTAGCCTTTCGCCCCGCCAACACCGACCCCGCCCTCTTCACCTGCTCCGTCTTCACCTTCTCCCAGTCACCTTCTCCCGACAACCGTCGTGTCCAATCGCTTTTATTTTCCTAGAGTTATCGTCGCGCTGAAGCGCATCGCCACATTGGCTCATTCACTGCCGAGCAACAAACCGACATCTGCGTCACCTCTCGACCTGCCGACAAAGCTCCGTTCCTACCTGTGCCTTCCAGCTCCTCCAGCCGATCCATTCCTGTTTCCTCTTTAAAATGGACCTCCGCTCCTCGACGACGCTATTGGGCCTCGCCACGCTGTCCACAATCCTGCTCTCCATACCCGCAGGCGCTGCCGACTGGACCTACTCGTACTGCTCCTCGCTCAACACAGGCGACCAAAGCACCAGCTGTAAGTACAAGTGTATATATCCTGTGCCCTGTCCCACGTCTAACGCGTGCAGATACCTGGCCATACCAATCCAATGGCAACTGCACCAACCACTGCAAGCAGGATGGAGGCCCATGGGCGTTTGCCGTTATCCAGTACACCAACTGCTGGTGCTCCAACTACGTGCCCGGCACCACAGCAGACTCGAGCGGCTGCCTAGTAGACTGCCCTGGCTTCCCCGACGAAAAGTGCGGCAACAAGGACAAGGGCCTCTACATCTACGTCCAAATGGATGGCCAGCCCTCCGGCACCCAAGGAGGCTCATCATCCACTGCAGCGCCTGCTTCGTCTTCTCAAAACTCACCACCATCATCATCGCCGCCGCCACCACCACCGTCATCACCATCACCAAAACCTACTGTCAGTACCTCTTTTCCCATGTCACTTTCATTTTGTCATTGCCCCCTTTCTATAACTCAATTCACTCTCAAGTCCTCCCTGGCTGCGCGTGCACTCTTCCTAGCTATCGGTATTTGACTTTCTGGTAGTCTGCTCCGCCTCCGCCACAAGTGGTAACGAGCATCTTGACACAGAACCCAGAAACCATCGAGAAGACTGTTACCGTTCAGCCAGCCCCTTCTTCATCTCCCCCTTCTACCTCCACTGTATTTCGCTTCGAGCCTAGTGTATCGCACCTGCTAACAGGTGTCCAGACCAAGAAGCCCTCGACGAATGATTCTCCTGCTGCCACCGAGCAGCCCGTCACGGTGCCCACGCTCGTTACCGAGAGCGGCATGGTCATTACCCGCACGGTTGTCATCACACCGATCCCTGCTGCCTCTACAGGCCAAGACTCCAACAAGTCGTCAACCGACGTTGGCGCTATTGCCGGCGGCGTCGCTGGCGGCGTCGTGGGCCTACTAGCGATTGTTGGTGTCATTCTGTTTCTTCTGATGAGAAGGAGGAGGCAGCGAGAGCAAAACGGACAGGAAGGTGGCGCAGGCATCACACGGAACGTGAGCACCATGAGCAGGGCTGGTCTGCTTGGCGGACAGGCTGAGAAGACGACGCCCCTCACCACCACGTTTGGCTCACAGCGCAGCCGACACGACGATGATTCGATCACACCCGTCACTCCATCAACCCGCCGACTAAGCCAGCCGATCCTAGTCGACTCTCGGCTCAACCCAGCCGCCGTTCTCACCTTCCACGGTAACCAGAGTCGGGAAAGCCTAGGCAGTATCGACGACAGTCGGGATTACGGTCGCCAACTGAACGTACGGAATCCTGACCCGTAGGGGGTTTGGAAAAAAAAAAGTGAACCACAATTGCGAGCTGCTCCTGGGACTGGACTCAACCACGCCGCAGAGTGCACCCAGGGGAGCAACAACAACTCCATGCTAGCCCAAGCGGTTAGGGCCGTAATTGCAGCACGACTAACGAACATACACGGACACTGCATCCATACTAGTCGAGGCGTAATGTTTTAGCGGTGATTCTCGGATTTCACATCTATTTGTTATATTCTTGAGGCTGTCAATCCTTCATGGCCCAAGAAGCAGTCTGTCTGATTTTGACATATCCTTAAAAGGCGTCAGGGCCCGTGTACTATATCCTTCTTTTTTGCTGGAAATTTGGTTGGAATGGCAATGTACATACTTATATGGGGATGGGGGATGGTATAAAGGTGCCTTATTGGAACGGCACCCGGAACACAGGCCACGGTCTATTGGCACATGGCGCGGGAGAGAAATGGAATTTGCTCCTAATTACATAGTTGAGAGATGGGACTGTTGCGCCAGTGCACACACGACGCAACTGCATCACCATTCGGCGGTTGAATGTTGAACATCACTGTTCAATCCAGACTTGCACTAGTGTTCCAACCATGTCATGTACTATTGCCTGCGCATGGGAATTGTGCAGGTGCCGTGCGTAGGGGCGACTATCGCCAAGACGCTAGCAAGTCGGTACCTTGCCGTGGTCCTACGTCCGTCTATTTGCTTTGTTTGGCTTCCATGCACTGCACCTTACTTGCACCTAGACGATCCATGGCTTTCAGTCCCCTGGAAAGCCTTCCAAACGAACTGTTACTCGAAATCGTCAATCAGCTGTTCCTCGAATCCATTGATCAAGTTCGCAGCATCAGCCTGGTCAGCCGGCGCTGCCATCGCCTTGCCAACGAGCTCCTATACAGCGCCTACGCCCGGAACCGTGGAGACCCAGCTCTCTTCATCCGCACACTTGCATCCGTGCCTGACCTTGCACGATGCGTCAGAAGCGTCGATTGGGACTGTAGACCTCTGCACAGCAATACCCTCGTCACTAGCGATGTCTTTTGGTTCACTGACGATTTGACGTGCACGGAGCGTCGTGTTATCACGAATGCGTTAGTCTCGGAGCGTTGCTGCAATACAGATAGCCTGGACCAGCAACTGACCGACCTTGGAACGGACGCATACCTGAACCTGTTCCTATCATTCACTCCGCACGTACGTCGTATCCGCATTGCTATCCCGTTCATGTGGAATTATAACGCAATCTGGTTCAAGCCAGCGCTGGATTCCCTCATCCTCAAAAATCTTACCAAATCACATATTGTCGGTCCATTGAGCATTCGAAACGTTATTCCATTGTTCGTTCTGCCGTCGCTACAAAGTCTAACCTTGGACCATGTGGCACACGATCGAAACAGAATCTTACACGGTACGCCACTGGAATGGCACGCCTACGATATAGTCTTTGAAAAGCTGCAGTTACAAGGTTCAAACATCGAAGAATTCGTCGTACAAAACTGTAGCATCGACACGGTGGACATGGCTCGTTTGATGGGATTGTTTCGCAATCTCAAAACATTTGAATTCGAGTTTACCGGTCATGGCCAAGACAAAGATAACGTAGACTTGGCATATCTTCTCAATGCTGTCACACAACAGAAAAAGTCTCTCACATCGCTGTCTCTCAAAGACTGTCGTCTGGCATCGGATCGATATATCCTCCAAGAACTGAGCAAACTCGAGCACTTGGAATACCTCTTGCTTGACATCACGATGCTTTGTGGCTCCTATCTGCATGACCCCACTGTCGAGCTCCTATCGAGTCTGCTGCAACAATTGCCTAGGCGTTTGGGACGTCTCCATCTAATAGCCAACGATCCTGACGACGACGAGCTGAGACCTTCCATCGGCTTCAGCGATGCATTGCAAGCGCTTGCACCAGGCATCAAGAATATATTTCCCGCCTTGCACACACTTGGCATCGTCGGCTGGGACCCGTTACTAGGCACTTTCACCTGTCAGACCAAGGTCAAGGCTATGCAGCTGGCATTTGCCGAGGCTGGAGTGGAGCTTACGCAGCAACCATGCAGTCTCGAGAATAGCAACGAGAATGATCTAGCCACTCTACGCCTAGTGGATGCAGAAGAGGACTGGCTTTGGGTTCAGTGGGTGGATTGTGACGGATGGTGGTTTGGTCTTCGTGGTGATGTTTGGGAAAACGGGACCTCGGTATGCGCTTTGGACGATGTTGCCGGGAGCCAGGGCTAGATATTCATCAAGACAAGCATGCAGCGCCGTCATGTCAGATGGTATATAAATAAACAGAGAGAAGCACCGAGAGTAGGCAAACTTTCCCAGTCCGTTATCCCTGTTGGTGGGAATGGAGGCTCAAGTGCACACGCGCCACGCGTTCCCACTTGGGCCCACTTCTGCCCTGAATCTCGACCGCAACGCGACCCATGACCACGACCACGACACCACCCTCCAACACCACAGTCGATTTTCTCAATATCTCTTCCAGCACGGTCGCATACATCTTCAGTCGCCCATCATGAGCAAAATGTGGGAGGTGGATCCGGAGACGCGGAGCAAGGTACGCTAATAATCCTACCACTCTGTCGAGGTGGGGGGTGCTAGGGGTCAATTGCGGAGATGGAGGCATAGCGCAGCAGAACGAGCGGGCTTGGAGTGTGCAGCGGCTAATCACTTCTATTCGCAGTTGCTGGAAATCCAGAAGACAAACGATAACAACAAATGCGTCGACTGCAATGCGCCCAGCCCGCAATGGGTACGCAAACACCTGTCCTTCTCTCTGGCCACGCGCGCGAGCCACGACGACGCTTACTGATATGTCTTGCACCAGGCCTCGCCCAAACTCGGTATCTTCATGTGTCTCTCGTGCTCCGGCGTGCATCGTGGTCTAGGTGTCCACATCTCCTTCATCCGCAGCATAACCATGGACGCTTTCAAAGGCTCGGAGCTCTTGCGCATGGCGGCCGGAGGGAACAAGCCCTTCCAGGACTTCTTCAACGCCCACGAGTCGAACACGAAAGAGGGACGCACATTCGAGGCGTCATCCATACAAGAGCGCTACGATTCCGAGGCGGGCGATGAGTGGAAGGAGAGGCTTAGCTGCAAGGTCGAGAACAGAGAGTTCGACAAGAGCAATCTGCCCAAGCGGTTACCCAAGAAGGACAACATTTCTGCAGCTGGCGTGGGTGCGCCCTTGAGTGGACGGGCCAGCGCAGCAGGCAGTAGGAGTCAGACGCCTTTGAGCAAGACACGGAGTAACGATGCAGCCTTCCAGCGCTCTGCATCGCCTGCACTCGGCACAAACGCCATGTCCCAGAAATCCAAAAACGAGGCCTACTTTGCAAAGATGGGCCAGGAGAATGCCAACCGGCCAGAAGGCGTTGCGCCAAACCAGGGAGGAAAATACGGTGGCTTCGGTAGCGAGCCAGATTCGTGGAAGAAGGACGACGAACCTGGGGCTCCACCTGCGCTTGACGATTTCCAAAAGGACCCTGTTGCAGCACTTACCAAAGGCTTCGGGTGGTTGGGCGCCAGCGTGAGCAAAGTGGGCAAGACAGGCTACGAAGGCTGGGTCAAGCCAGGCATGGCAAAGGCATGCGTTGCACTCCAATCTACGAATGACTATTACTAACTCTCACTCAGCTTGCCGAAGCAGACCTCGCCACCCAGGCCCGTAACACAGCCGGCACCCTCGGCCAGACCCTCCAGTCGGGTGTTGCGAGCGCCAACAACCAGTTCACTCGCTTTGTCGAGGGTGATGACTCCTCATCCGCAACGCGTCGTGGCGCGCCCGAACCCGAGCGCAAAGAATTTTGGGAAAGCTTCGGTGCAGCACCCAAGGGACCGGCAAAGGACAAGCAGGACTTTTGGGACGAGTTTGCCAGTGCCGGCGAGGCTAGGGCCACCTCAACCGTGGAAAAGAAGAAGCCCAGCGGTATTGGTACAAGTGCCATGAAGAAGAGTGGCGGTGCTGGTAGCGGGAGCATGAGCGCAGCACCCGCAAAGAAGGACGACGAATGGGGTGATTGGTGAGACGACGCAAAGCCTTTTCTATGAGGGGGTTTGACGAAATCATGGTGGGGATAGAGGGCTGGGGAGAGGCGTTTCAGGCGTTGGATACGCATGTGATGATGGGCTGGGGCTGGGATGGGTGGACTGTGAGTGAATTAACTATTGATTGTGCTGGGCTTCTAAAGCGCAATATTGCTCCGTCAATTAGATGTTTGTGTTTCGTCTTCTTCCTCTTCCTCTTTCCATGTGCGTTGTTGTTATATAGTGGATAGGCGACGCTACATACGTCGGTAGGGAGGAATTCAAGGGACTTGACTATCGAACCACATATGGAATATTTGCATCATGAGTGATGAAGGGGTATAGCAGGGATGAGGCTTGCTTCGGTAAGAAACGTGTATGACAGACAGACATAGCCAGAACTATTCTCTCCAGAAGATGCACGAATCTGAATCTGAATCCTTCCTTCTTTTATCCCATCAGAATGCTGGCGATGCAAATGTCTTCCTGAAACCAGCACCGGACAATACCATCCACTCACACTGAACATGATACGGTATACCGCTACCCTGTTCTACGTGGCAACACAGCTCACACATCTAATGGTAATCACTCTAGACCACAACCTATACTGACACATGGGTATTGCACTGCATACGTAACACAGATCCAGACTACACATTCATAACCCCACAGGCCTTTGATATCGCCAGTCCCTCACTCAACCACATGAAAAACCCCACCCCTTGCATCTGGGACGGTGGGGATGGTCTACGCATACGACTACCAATCCCTGCGCTGGAATACTAATTACCAGTGCGAAATGGCTCTGAAAAGAGTGGTTACGTGGTTCCAGTCCTACGCTTAACCCACCACTCTTTGGAAGAGATGGGTCCCAAGGATATTTTCCGAATCATATGAATTCTTGCCATGTGGAGTTCATCTTCGTATATATAACCCCTCTTCGCCTCCGCCCCCCCCTGCAACTGCTTCTCACCGAATTTGAGGGTACAATAGTTGGACACTCTTCGCCCCCCCCGTTCCCTCCGCAACCTTTCAAGACACAGTAAGCAGTTAGTTTTTCTAATGATTGATTTTTTTTTCTCTCTCGGGATGACATAGCTTAACGATGGGTACCTTGGATTTGGTGCTAACATACTGCCAAGGGAAAATTTCAAACGCCCAGAGGGTATTGAGGGCTTCACGGCATATAGAGTGTGTTCTGCCGAAAAAAAAAACTCCCAAACCCCAAACCCCAAACCCTCCCCCAGGTGAGTCTGAAGCTTTTTCTCAGTTCCACATAAATCCCCATGCTAATACATAGAAGATTCTCTGAATCATGGTTCGCCTCTACCGCACACCATGTGCGCTCCTCGCCCTCTTCATGGCGGCCGCACATGCCAAATTCGCGCGAGTACGAGTCTACCCATTTACATCTGACGACTGTAACGGGGCGCCGATAGCCGGTAACTTTGACACCAACATGGACCAATGTCTGCCGCTGCACTACGGCGCCATGAGCATCCGGCTCATGGAAGTCAAATTCGGCGAGTGGTCCACGGAGCTGAAAAAGGGCCCGACCGGTTGCTACTGGTACGGGTATACCGAGAACGGGTGTTTCGAGCGGTACATGGATGTCATTGTCGACCCTGGAGATGTTATCGGTAAATGCATTACGGCTAATGATCCGAGCCGCCCGTTCCACTCCATGTCGTATAGTTGCATTCGGCCGCTGGATGCGCCGCCGAATGATGAGCGTGACCTGGAGGCTTTGTCCGGTAGGAATTATACCGCTGTTGAAGGCCAGGCCCGCGAACAGACGAGCCCTGCGAGGGTAGTCACGAGGGGATTGTCGCCTTATTTGAACGGAACGGCTCACTCGGTGAACACGACGAGCACCGACAATGCACCAGCGAAGGAGGTGACACCTCTCATGAACGAGACAAGCACTGAAACGGTAGTCGAGGAAGTGACTCTCTCCCTCAACAAGACGAGCCCCGGCAAGGCTTTTGAGAAAGAACCGGCTCCTCCCATGGACAAGACGACTACTGAAAAGGTCGCCGAGGTCGCTACCTTCTTCGTGGAGCACATGCATAACCAGTCTTCTGAACAGGTCGGAGAACCTGAGAAGAGCCAGGCGGTCCACCTCAACGAGACAAGCCACGGCAAGGTGTTTGATAACGCAACAAGCACCTACACCAACAAGACGAGCAATGCTGAGCTCGACTCGGACTCAGACTCTGATTCCGACTCTGACGACGAAGACGAGACGGACGAACACGGAAACAGGCTGGAGAAGCGAATCGACTGGTGGAAAGGCCCGCACCGCGGCGCCTGGATGCTGCACCCGTGGACCGGCAGCATGATCTGCTACATGTGCTTCAGCAAGAAGGACCATCTCCTGCACGACTTTGAGTGCCGCTTCGGGTACAAGTTCCCTATTGACTGCGGCCCCAGGCCCGACGCCCCCGTCTACACCAAGACATTCACCGTCCAGCCCATCATCACCATGGTGCCGGGCCCCGAAGGGTCTCGTGTCGTGAAGCGCTCGTGGCACAAGCGCGTCCTGTTCAACAACCCGTGGTACCCCGAGCTCACCGTGTGCGGCAAGGCACATTGGGAGTACAAAGGCCAGCCGCGCAGCGAAGTGCGTCTTTCCGATAACAAGCGCAAGATGGACAAGTGCAACCGCAACGTCGACGCCGAGAACATTGCCATTTACGGCACCACCGCCACCGTGTCGGCGCCCACACAGACCGTCAGTCTGGTGGGCCATACTACGCCCCGCAGCGCAAACGAAGAACATGTAAACGTCTACGCGGAGCCCACGCCCGTAGCCTCGACGCTGAAAACCACCGTTACGCCTGCTGCCGCCGTTGCTGCGCCGCCGCCATCCAGCGTGACCAAGGAGCCCGACACCTTCACCCTCGAGCGCACCAGCACCTCGATATTCCAGTACTCGGATGCCTGGAATCCCGCGAGCCTCTTCACGCTTACCGTGCCCATGCCCCAGATCACCACCGTCGCGAAGCCGACGCTGACGACGCTTGTGCTGCCGCAGACGAGCCTGCGCCCGGAACCCGAGACGGACATCATGACCTTTATTGTTACCAGCACGAGATGGCCCAAGTCGAGGAAGTACTGAATGTTTTGCGGGTGCTGACGCATGGGAATTTTCTGCCTTTCTGATGGACGGGTGGAGGGCAATGTGGGAAGAGGAGCTTCAGTATGTGTATGTCTGTGTGTGTGGGGAGGAGTGGAAATTGGTTTGGACATCGACAATAAGCGTGTTACCATGGTTCCCCTTTTTTTTCTTCACTTCTTCTCATCATCATCATCTTCTTCTTCTTTCTTGATTCATCCTCTCTTCTCTTTTCTCTTCTTTTGTCTGCATTGATTTTCTCGTAGGATACCTAATACGAATGCCATGATTTCTTTTTTTTTGGTTATCTTTCTCCTCTAGCCTTATTCCTCTCACGACGCCGCTCCCTCTCCGCTTTCCGTGCCTGGTTGAAGCTAGGCGATATATCTTCCTCGTCTATCTTGGCCTGCTCGAGACTCTTCTCGTGGACCTCGTCGAGAAGGAACCGCCCCATGTTGCCGCTTCTCCATTTCTGGATCAGCCAGAGCGACGTGGCTTCGGTGTCTATAGATCCGCCTTTTCCTAGGCGTCCGGTCTTCTTGGCGACTTCGGAGAGCAGCTCGATGATGTCGTTGGTGGGTGGTGCGTATTCAGAGTAGAGGGTTGGTGATTGGAGATTGAGGTGATAGAGCAGGTAATCGGCGAGCATGACCGGTGCGATGATTGTGTCTTTTACAGAGCCGCACAGGGCCAGCTTCATCATTGCTTCTGCGTGCGGCACGTACGGGATGAAGACTCCCGGTGTGTCGAGAAGGTAGACACCCCCGCCTACACCCTGGAATTTCCTCCTAGCACTGGCATCCGCGGACTCCATGTCGTCCTCGCTGGGGATAATCTTGACACCGCTACTGCTGACTTTCCGCGTGACCCCAGGCTGGGCGCCCGTAGCAGCGACCTTGCCTTTGCCGATTCCCTGTGCGCGCAGGGCATTCAGAAGCGTAGACTTGCCGACGTTGGGCATGCCCACGACCATGACGCGGTGACCAACCAGCTTCCACCTCTTCTGCGCATGCTCTCTCAAGATATCCAAGAGCTTCATTATACTCTTCCGGCCGGCGGCCTCTCCCTCTGCGTCTTTTCCGTTCCTCACAAACATGGTTGTGGTGGGATGGTGCCATTGGGCAATAACGTGCTCGTTTTTGTTGTCGCGCACACCGCCGCCCAGGTCGCGCTTCGTATACACAATGACCCGCTCCTTGACCTCCAGGGCGCTCTCGAACAGCGGATTCCGCGACGTCAGTGGCACGCGGTAGTCGCGGCACTCAATCACAAGGTCGATGCTGGCAAGCAGCGATTTCATCTTTTGCAGCCCCGATTTGTGGTGCCCCAGAAAGTACGACCGCGGAAGCGAGGGCACGGCTGGGAAGGCATGGCGCGGGATGAAGGACATTGGTTACATTGGCGTCGTGCGTGAAGGATATACAGGACTGGTGGATGGAGTGTGGGAATTCTTTGAGATGCGAGTCAGGCGCTGCCCTGAGGCTTGGCGCGCTTGACTCAGGCTAGAGAGTAGAACATTGTTGTCTGCTATGCTCAAGTTTGAACTTGGACTTCCATCTAGTAACTAGTTGATTTTACGCGGTGAAGGCTTGCGTTGGATTATTGCTTGGTCTCTGGACAGAATTGAGATTGCTGTCGGACATGATGACCACTGCATGAATGGCCGAATCCAGAACCACCCGTTTGCAAGCAAAAAAAAGCAATTCCTGGCTAAGGTTTAGTTCAAATTCATTGTTCGGCTTCTTTAGGTTTCGTACAAGATTTGTTCATGGTCTCAAACTAGGTGTAGGTGGATGGCGACGTCCATCTCCAAGCATCGGGACCAGTCCTGATCCAGGACTGAAACCCTTTCACGTCCCGTCTCCTTGGGCAGTGTCCCAGCGATTGCAAAGATGACAATTTAGGGCTGAATTCTTTGGAATCGGAAGATATACGAAAACGTTTCATAGAAAACTTCGGGTCGTGTTGTTGCTGCAACTCATCACCCTTCCGCCTTGGTCTGGTGGTTGAACACGGCGAAGATGGTCTCGCAATCTTCGTTACGCGTTCTCCGTTACGCGCCCTCCCCCACCACGTCATGTCCCAATCTGGTCCGCATTTTAGTGGCCGGCTTGTTCCATGAACCTGGTTCCAGGATGGTGCTGACTCCAGGAATCGCGATAATAAAGCCCGGGGCCCTAATGCAAGCCTTCTCCGCACATGCAGGCGGCGCACGAGCCGGTGCTGTAACCTGCATGGACGCGCAATGACCCAGGACGCGCAATGACCCACCCCACCAAACTCAACACCTACACAAAATACCTCATAACTCCACCAATATGGACCCGATTCAGGAAGCGATTGAAGAAATCGAATCGCGCGAACTAGGCGCATCTTTCAGCTATCGCCAAGTTGCAAAAAGGTTTGGCATTAGCTATCGTACGCTCGCTCGAAGACACCAAGGCAAAACTCAGCCTCGCGCGCTCGCCCACCTCTCTATCCACCCACAACGCGAAAAGGAGCTTGTACAGTACATCGAATCCCTCACTGAGAGGCGTACACCACCTTCGCGTCCAATAATACGCCATCTTGCGTCATCCTTGCTTGGTAGAGACGTTTCAGAACGCTGGGTTTCTAGGTTCCTCTGCAGGAACTCCTCTCATCTCATCTCTCGCTGGCAGAGTCCTATGGACCAGAAGCGTCACAAGGCTGATTCAGCAACCAAGTATAGGTTGTACTTTGAGCTGTTACACAATAAGATGAAGGAGTACAATATACAGCCCTCTCACATCTTCAATATGGATGAAAAGGGCTTCTTACTTAGAATCCTTGGAAGGTCTAAAAGGATCTTTAGTAAGAGGCAATATGAAAGAGGAGGAGTTGTTTCAAGCCTACAAGATGGCTCTAGAGAGTGGATTACAGTCCTAGCCTGTATCTGCTCAGATGGTACACCTCTTTCTCCATCTCTCATCTTTCAGTCAGATGCTGGAGCTCTAAAATCAGCCTAGGTAGAGGCTATCAATCCAAACAAGCACTCAGTCTTTGTTACCTCATCGCCCTCTAGATGGACCAACAATGATATAGGCCTAGCTTGGCTTAAAGAGGTCTTTGAAAGAGAGACTGCACGCTACGCTCGAACTGGGTACCGGTTACTTATTGTTGATGGCCACTCATCTCATGTAACCATGG